TTTCGTGACTGCAGGGATTCATCTTCTTGGTTCTTTCGGTAAAGTCACGTAGAAGGGAAATTAATAATAATAAAACATCACAAAATAATTCTCACGACGTTTCGGCCACAACGCAAGCAGCCGTCCTCAGGTGAAAACAGGTCTGTCTGAAAGACAACGTCTGAATTATGTTTTATTTTTTATTATTTTATTATTTCCCTTCTACGTGACTTTACCGAAAGAACCAAGAAGATTTTCCTAATTCTCCGAGTAGAAATTATTTCACGCGACAAGCGATGAGTAAAAACGAAAACATTTAACGTGATCGTTCGTTTCGTTTCTTATTCACCTGGACGAGTGAAACGAGGGTGACTGCGCACACTCTCAAACCGATGTCAACCGACGGCAGATTTCTTGTCCGTAACGTTCTCTGTTGAATCATCTTAAAATTCCCCCTAAAAATAACATTTCAGCTCCGCGGCACCGGATTTTAAATCTCGCCCGGGTGGGTGGGTGGGTTGGGTTTGGGTTGGGAGGCAGGGGAGGTTTCGTCATTACACGGTTTGCGTTTCACATCAGGCAATTAACACCCGCATTCTAAGCCAATTATCTCCACGATGTGCGTGTGGGCTGGCGGAGACGAACGAAAGACAGGTCTTGGAACGGGAAATTATGTTTTGAGATTTATGAAACATTGTAAAAATAAAAGATTAAATCTTTGTACGTGCGTGACTGCAAATGTGTGCGTGCATGCGTGTGTGTTGCATGCATGCATGTGCGTACGTGAACGTCTGTGTGTGCATGCACGTGTTGTTGTAAGTGCACATCTGTGTGCATGAGTGTGTGTCTATGCGCGTATGTGAGCCTGCATGCATGTGTGGTTGCATGCACACGTGTGAGTGCGTGTGCATGCCTGTGCATGTGTGCATATATTATGGGCAGCGCTAGTGCAGCGGTTAGCGCGCTGCGCTATGAACCCGGCGACACGAGTTCGATTCCCGCTCACGGCCAACACCAGTGACGATTATCTGAACCGGTCCTGGGCCTCCCCTAGGGACTCAGCCTCAAATGAGTACCTGGTGAGGTGTGTAAACATCGCCACTAGGGAGACAAAGGCGGTCGGGCGTGGTGCTGGCCACCCACCCCCCTCGTGTACCGTTCCGGCCTTCATAGGTGCTCGCTAACAGCACTTGCCCCTACAGTCTGTTCAGGCTACACGGGGAATCTTTTTTCTTTGATATTTGGGTGTGTATGTGTTTCTGTGCTTGTGTGTGTGTGCATGCGTGTGTGTGGCGGTTAGCGCACTGCGCTATGACCCGAGTAAAATTAGCCGCAAACGGGCAACACCGGTGACGATTATTTGAACCGGTTCTCGGCATCCCCTAGGTTGACTCAGCCTAAAAATGAGTACCTGGAGCGGTGTGTAAACATCGACAATGGGGAGACAAAGGCAGCCGAGCGTGGTGCTGGCCACCCACCCCCTCGTGTGCCGTGCCGGCCTTCGTAAGTGATCGCTAACAGCACTTGCCCCAAATGTCTGTTATGGTTATACGGGGGGGTATTTGTTTTTGCATGCCCGGCCGCCTTTGTCTCCCAGTGGCGATGTTTACACACTGCTACCAGGTACTCATTTGAGGCCGAGTCGACCTAGGGGAGGCTCAGTCAGGAACCGTTAAAGATAAAATCGTGACTGGCGGTGGCCGTGAACGGGAATCGAACCGGGGTGGACTGGCTCGCTCGTAGCGCGGTGCGCTAACAACCACTGTTGTTGTGGCAAGTGCCGTTAGCGAGTAGCACCATCAAGGCCGGCACGGCACGGCACGGGATACACACACACACACGGAGCGAGCGCATTAAACCGCGCGACGCGTTTCTCAAACGATATCAGAGCGCCCACGCGTGAGACGCGCGGGGAGACAGAGAGAGAGAGATGAAGGCGATCGACTGAGCCAAATTCATCAAATGACAAAGCCACCAATCTCCGCACGCCCTCCAATAGATTCACGGCTCGTGCACCGGCACGCACGCGAACGCGTTATGCGAATCGCGCGCGTTCCAGGGTGAGCCCCACGGGATCACCAACACCGGGTGGGAGGTGGGGGGGGCGGTGGGGGGGTAGAGCTGGGAGGTGGGGGGGGATGTCGGGGGGGCGGTGGTGGGGAGCAGGGAGGTGGGGGGAGCAGGGAGGTGGGGGGGGGAGGTCGGGGGCGGTGAGGAGAGCAGGGAGGTGATGGGAGGTTAGGTGTGGGAGGAAGGGCGGTAGGGGAGAGCATGGAGGTAGGGGGTGCGGGGAGGTGGGGTAAGATGGGCAGGGAGCGAGTAGGTGGGTGTGGTGGGGGGGAAGCGGGGAGGGTGGGGAGGGCAAGGAGGTGGGGACGGTTGTTAGCGATGGGAAGCGATGTTTTCATTACATGTACAGCCCCCTCCCTCCATCGGGTGTAACCCAACCCCCCACCCGCCCCTCCCCACAGCCCCCCCACCCCGCCAGCCGGGCAGCACCAGGGGGAGAGGACAGCAGCTCCGTGTTGCTTCACTATTAAACCAAACACGTGTTTATTTTTAACTTTAACAGTAAGGGCCACACTGAGTTATAAATTTACATTTTTGTAAGAAGCGACCTGGCTAACACAAACGATAGCTCAACGAAGTGGGCTTATCATCAGCATCATCATTATGACGTGGAAATGTATAGCAGCAAAACACTCTAAAAACGTGCGACGCCGATTAATAAAATGTGGAAGGAAAAACCGGGAGGACCCGGAGAAAAATCCACGCCACCACGGAGAGAGAGAAGACACGCAAACTTCAAATATACAGCAGGCGTAAGGGTCGGGATCGAACCCACGACCTCCTGTATACCAGGCGAGGTATTTAACATCTCCTAGCCACCGTGATGATGATGAGAGAGAGAGACACGCAAACTCCAAATATACAGCAGCAGGCGTTAGGGTCGGGATCGAACCGACGACCTCCTGTATACCAGGCGAGGTAGTTAACATCCCCTAGCCACCGTGATGATGATGAGAGAGAGAAACACGCAAACTTCAAATATACAGCAGCAGGCGTCAGGGTCGGGATCGTACCCACGACCTCCTGTATACCAGGCGAGATAGTTAGCATCTCCTAGCCACCGTGATGATGATGAGAGAGAGAAACACGCAAACTTCAAATATACAGCAGCAGGCATCACGGTCGGAATCGAACCCACGACCTCCTGTATACCAGGCGAGGTAGTCAACATCTCCTCTGTGTTGGCCACGACGTGCGCACCGTCTGCTCGGCAGCGGACGTCGTTTGAAAGAAAAAAGAGTCGGCCGTTGGCGCTGGTTGTCGCGGTCCGAATTTTTTTGTTCGTTGCAAATGACCACTCGAACAAATATGCTCATCACGCGGACACTTATAGCAGCCAAGCACTCTCAGCTCGCTCTGCTGAAGCCCTCTCATCGTGGCTAGCAGCAGCAACAGCAGCAGCAGGACCTCGAAATTGGCATTCAGTTTACACGGGACCACCACCGCCGCCACCACCAAAGAAACGTCGCCAAATTCCTTTCGCTTAATACGGAACCTGGAGCTGGCTCGCTCGCAAGCCTTCAGCTCATTTCAAGAAGTTTTTTTTTTTAATTCCTTTATTAAATCCTTTATATTAAGTTCGCTTGCTTGCTTGCGTGCTTGCTTGCTTGCTTACGACCGTGCAAATCTTTCGATCGTTTTTTAACCCACTTCCCGTGATCCAATCGAGCTGACATTTTGCACACAGACTCGTTGTGCGAGACAATTAATGTTCGTGAAATCTTTTTTTCCAAAATGTTACACTGTTTAGGGAAAACAAATTAAATATTTAATTACCAATTGCTTAATACTGGCAAACAATCATCTGACCCATAGGTGGCAGCCATCTCAAGCCAGGGGACGAGAGGACTCTAGCCGCCACGCATATAAAAGATTTATAGTGAAAAACTTTGTTTTTACGGGTTATACTTATATTAAGTTCACTTGCTTGCTTGCTTGCGTGCTTGCTTGCTTGCTTACGACCGTGCAAATCTTTTGGTCGTTTTTTAACCCACTTCCCGTGATTCAATCGAGCTGACATTTTGCACACAGACTCGTTGCGCGTGACAATACATTTTCGTGAGAAAAAAAATATCAAAATTTTACACTGTTTAGGGGGAAACTTTTTAATATTTAATTACCAATTGCTTAATGGTGGCAGACAATCATTTGACCCATAGGTGGCAGCCATCTCAAGCCAGAGGACGAGAGGACTCTAGCCGCCCCGATGCCACGCATATAAAGGATTTATAGTGAAAAACTTTGTTTCTACGGGTTAATTTTTTAAAGTTCTCTTTGCGTTGCTTTGAATTCGATTTTTCTTCAAGGCGTTGCAGAACCCCAGGTGAACGGGAGAACGAGAAGAACAAAAATGAAAAGGCGAGGGGGGGACTGAAAAAACAATCAAAGGCAACTAAACTTCTTGAAGGAAGCTGCAGGACCACAGGTGACCGGGAGAATTGCAAAGAACACGAAACATCTTGAAGGAAGCTGCAGACTTGAGAGCGAGCGAGCGAGCGAGCTCCAGGTTCCGTATGAAGCCAAAGGTATTTGGCGACGCTGCGTTTCGTGGTGGTGGTGGTTGGTTGGTGTGCAAGCAGAAAGTAACGAGATAATTGAACAAATACTCTTTGGTTTTTTCGGTAAAGTCACGTAGGTGAAAACCGAATAAAATAAAAACAAAACAACTAAATTAAATCACTGCAGTAATTTTGCTGGAGCGGTCACACCTGATGACGGATGCTTGTGTTGCTTCCGAAACTTCGTGATTTAATTTAGTTGTTTTATTTTTATTTCATTGTTTTCACCTACGTGACTTCACCGAACAAACCCAAAGAGTATGGACCCTTGCAGTCACGAAAACTTCAAATCTAGAATTAATTTAACAAATATATATTTTTTTTAAATATAATTTAAGAGGACTACAAAAAAAGCAAAGAACAATAAAATGAAAACGCCGGGCGCGACCTCACCGGCTGGAAGTGCCCGAGCCGCAGGTTATAGGTGAGGTCGTTCTGCAGGTCCCTGAGGAAGTGGCACGCATACTCGGGATAGAGCGACAGGACGTTGTAGAGGCCCCGAAGGCCGATGCACTGAAGGGCGCAGTACGTGAGGGCCTTCACGTCGGCGTTGGTCTTCACCACCTCCTCAATGACGGTCAGGTCCGAGCCGATGAGGTCTCCCTTCCCTGAGAGAGAGTGAGAGAGACAGAGAGAGAGAGAGAGGGAGAGAGTGTGTGAGAGAGTGTGTGAGAGAGTGAGAGTGTGTGAGAGAGTGAGAGTGTTTGAGAGAGTGAGAGAGTGTGAGTGTGAGAGAGTGAGAGAGAGTGTGTGAGAGAGTGAGAGAGTGAGAGAGAGTGTGTGAGAGAGAGAGAGAGTGTGGAGAGAGTGAGAGAGTGTGAGAGAGTGAGAGAGTGAGAGAGTGAGAGAGAGTGTGTGAGAGAGTGAGAGAGAGTGTGTGAGAGAGTGAGAGAGTGAGAGAGTGAGTGTGAGTCGTGAGAGAGTTTGAGAGTGAGAGAGTGAGAGAGTGTGGGAGAGTGTGAGAGTGAGTGTGAGAGAGTGAGAGAGTGTGTGAGAGAGTGAGAGAGAGTGAGAGGGTGATTCGTGAGAGTGTGAAAGAGTGAGTCGTGAGAGAGTGAGTGAGAGAAGTGTGTGAGAGAGAGAGACTTTGACTCTTAAACAACTTTTATTGCCGCCAGCAGCAACAGCACTGGAGGCGATTCCGATACGAAATACACAAAGTCACCAGCAACACAAATGAAAACAAATGCTCGAAATCCACGCGCTGTGGCGCTAACAGCACCGCGCACAACACTAAAGAAAAGCCACGTGGTGGTGGTGGTTGTGGTGGTTGTGGTGGTGGTTGTAGTTGTGGTGGTTGTGGTGGTGGTAGTGGTGGTGGTTGTGGTGATGGTGGTGGTCATCGCGCATGCCACGGTGACGAGCGAGCGCTTCAGAAGGTGAACACCACGAGGGTGCCGTCCACGCTGGTACAGAGAGGGGCTTGTCCGGCTCCCCAGCCGACAGAGAGAGAGAGACAAAAACCCCACCCTGCCCCCCCCCCCATTTATCCTGCAGTCTGCTCTCCTATAACGCTGTGCTGGAGGTTTGGGGGGGGGGGGGTAGTGGCGCGCTCGTTACCGAGGATGGCGAGTACCGTGCCGTCCTTGAGCACCTCCATGGAGCCAGAGCACACGAAGTAGAGGGCCTGCAGAGCGTCGCCTTGCCGGAGCAGCACCTGACACGCACAAGCACAAAGGTGTGCCCCACAGCGTATTGGGACCGTCCATAAATGACGTCACGCGATTTTGAACGATTTTTGACCCCTCCCCCCCAATTGTCACACGGCGTCACAAAAAGTCAAAATCGCGTGACGCCACTTACGGACGGCCCCTTTTGCACGGCACGTGTATCATGGCGCGAGTTGGTGTACGTTACGTATGCAAACCGGAGGTGCCGGAGAAAAATCTACGCGACCGCGGGGAGAACACGAAAATGTTATGAGCAAGTGGTGGCATAGTAGTTGGCGCGCTGCACTACGAACCCGGCGAGCAGAGTTTAAATTTCCGCTCACTGCCACCAACACTGCTATCGAACTCACGACCTCCTGTATACCAGGCGAGGCAGTTAACATCTCCTAGCCACCGTGATGATGATGAGAGAGAAAGAGACACGCAAACTCCAAATATACAGCAGCAGGCGTCAGGGTCAGGATCGAACCCACGACCTCCTGTATACCAGGCGAGGCAGTTAACATCTCCTAGCCACCGTGATGATTATGAGAGAGACACGCAAACTCCAAATATACAGCAGGCGTCAGGGTCGGGATCGAACCCACGGCCTCCTGCATACCAGGCGAGGTAGTTAACATATCCTAGCCACCGTGTTGATGATGAGAGAGAAAGAGACACGCAAACTCCAAATATACAGCAGCAGGCGTCAGGCTCGGGATCGAACCCACGACCTCCTGTAGACCAGGCGAGGCAGTTAACATCTCCTAGCCACCGTGATGATGATGATGAGAGAGAGACGCAGACTCCAAATATACAGCAGCAGGCGTCAGGCTCGGGATCGAACGCACGACCTCCTGTAGACCAGGCGAGGCAGTTAACATCTCATAGCCACCACCGCCAGGGGGGGAGGGAGGAAGGAAGGGGGGTGGGGGTCTTGGCCCTCTTGCTCACCTCCCCGGGCACGCAGAACGATGGCTTGACGCGCAGCGAGAGTGAGCGCAGGCAGCCGCGTGACGCCGACTGGAAGAGTGGCAGCCGCAGCATCTCCTTGTTGAGGTGCAGCGCCACGTCGGCCTGCAGTTCCTCCGGGAAGTAACGCAGCAGCTGCGCGAACGGGACACCCACGGCCGCAAGTTGCGGCGGTCGGGCGCTGCGTCAAGGGCGGGCGGCATGGGGCTGGCGGCGCGACGGGCGGTTTGTAATCGCGGCGCGGGGAGCGGTTTGCTTGAAGGGGATTTGGCCACATTTTTCAGTTGTCATGTTTTGAGTCGGTGGCCGAAATAATCAATCTAATACTAACTCAGTTTAACACGTAGGCTTTCGCGACCAATGTTATTCATAATCAACGTTTTTGGGTTTAGATCGCGTTATTTATAAATGTGTCGTAACCCTCCACCACCCGACACGGCCAATCAGTAAAAAAGCAGTGAACTATTTGTCTTTTGTCAACGTGACACTTTTTTACTGATTGGCCGTGTCGGGTGGTGGAGGGTTACGACACATTTATAAATAACGCGATCTAAACCCAAAAACGTTGATTATGACTAATACTAACTGTAATACTAATTTTCGATTTAAAGCTTTCGTGACTGCAGGGATTCATCTTCTTGGTTCTTTCGGTAAAGTCACGACAGACCTGTTCTTCACCTAAGGACGGCTGCTTGCGTTGTGGCCGAAACGTCGTGAGAATTGTATTTTATTATGTTTTATTATTTTATTATTTTCCTTCTACGTGACTTTACCGAAAGAACCCAGAAGATGTAATACTAATCATTATCATAATTGGGCTCGCACACGCATAGGGTACCAAGAAAATGCATCCGCATCGGTTTGTTAAGTTGTCGATTATATTATATTACGATAATATTCTATTTACTAAAATTATATAACATTAAGTCATATTTTTAATCTAACAATACGTTTTTTTGACAGAACTCCCTTCACGCCAGGGCGTCTCACGGCGCCTTTGCACGCGATAAGCGCCCTGCGTACGAATCTCATCTCAGCGCATTTGAAAGGGGGCACCCCCAGCAGCAGCTGTCCCTGTGCGGCACAAACGCAGCACGGCAGCGCCCGTTCCTTCGGACAACGCGCAAGCGGGCTGCACGTGCCTGCCCACAGCTCGTCGTCGGATTTCTCCAGGATCAATAAATATTCCGACTGAAATACGGGGCGCTTCACACACTCTCTCACTCTCTCACATTCTCTCACACACTCTCACACACTCTCTCACACTCTCTCTCACTGTCTCACACTAACTCTCACACTCACTCTCACACTCACTCACACTCTCTCACACACTCTCTCACACACTCTCTCACTCTCTCACTCTCACACACTCTCCCACTCTCTCACACTCTCTCACACTCTCACTCACTCTCTCTCTCACTCACTCTCACACTCACTCACACTCTCTCTCACTCACTCTCACACTCTCTCACTCTCTCACACTCTCCCACTCTCTCACTCTCACACACTCTCCCACTCTCTCACACTCTCACTCACTCTCTCTCACTCTCTCACACTCACTCTCACACTCACTCACACTCTCTCTCACTCACTCTCTCACTCTCTCACTCTCTCACACACTCTCTCACTCTCTCACACTCACTCTCACACTCACTCTCACACTCACTCACACTCTCTCACACTCTCACTCACTCTCTCACACTCACTCTCTCTCTCACTCTCTCACTCTCTCACACACTCTCTCACTCTCTCACACACTCTCACACACTCACTCTCACTCTCTCACACTCACTCTCACACTCACTCACACTCTCTCACACACTCTCACACACTCACTCTCTCACTCTCACACTCTCACTCACTCTCTCACACTCACTCTCTCTCTCACTCTCTCACTCTCTCACACACTCTCACACACTCACTCTCACTCTCTCACACTCACTCTCACACTCACTCACACTCTCTCACACACTCTCTCACACTCACTCTCTCACTCTCACACTCTTTCTCACTCTCTCACACTCACTCTCTCACTCTCTCACACACTTTCTCACTCTCTCACACTCACTCTCACACTCACTCACACTCTCTCTCACTCACTCTCACACTCTCTCACTCTCTCACACACTCTCTCACTCTCACACACTCTCTCTCTCACTCTCTCACTCTCTCACACACTCTCTCACTCTCTCACACACTCTCTCACTCTCACACTCACTCACACACTCTCTCACACACTCTCTCACACACTCTCTCACTCTCTCACACACTCTCTCACACACTCTCTCACACACTCTCTCACTCTCTCACACACTCACTCACACACTCTCTCACACACTCTCTCACACACTCTCTCACTCTCTCACTCTCTCTCACACACTCTCTCACACACTCTCTCACTCTCTCACACTCACTCTCACACTCACTCACACTCTCTCACACTCACTCTCTCACACACTCTCTCACTCTCACACTCTGTCTCACACACTCTCTCACACTCACTCTCTCACACACTCTCTCACTCTCTCACACTCACTCTCACACTCACTCACACTCTCTCACACTCACTCTCTCACACACTCTCTCACTCTCACACTCTGTCTCACTCTCTCACACTCACTCTCTCACTCTCTCACACACTTTCTCACTCACATGAGCCTATCGTTTTTATTGGAATTGTTTTTGATATTAATGGATAATAATACACTGTCACGTAACAAACGCACGTTAATAGTAAAAAAAAAGTCTCCCACTTCAATCTTGATTTGAAGCTTTCGTGACTGCAGGAATCCATACTCTTTGGTTCTTTCGGTAAAGCCACGTGGGTAGAAAATAAAATAAAACAAATCACGACGTTTCGATTATTTAAATCAGCAGTTGTCCTGCTGCATTGGTTCCGCCTGGTAACGGTCGCTTGTGTTGCGATCAAAACGTCGTGATTGATTTTATTTCTACCTACGTGACTTTACCTAAAGAACCAAGAATATAGTCTCCCACTTGTTTGCCATCGTCGTCAACGCTACGCCTGGAATCTTCTCCAGGTGGTGTCCAGAGCCCCGAAGTCAGCAAATTTCGCGCGGCGTCGTTGCAAATTCTCAAAAGTGTTCACAGTTTTTCGAAGCACCCCCCTATCATACTCTTAGGTTTTTTTCGGTAAAGTCACGTAGGTAAAAATAATAATAATAATCAATGAAAATAAATTATTTAACTCACGACGTTTCGGAGGTAACACAAGCTTCCTTCATCAGGTGTAAAAAAGGCACAGCAAAATAACCGTAGTGGGAGTTATTTGTGATGGGGCATCAATATATAGGGTAAGAGGAGGGGGCAGGAGCCAAGGGGAACGGGTGCAGAATGGGGGGGGGGGGGGGGGGTGTTTGAGGTGTGGGTGGAGCCAGAAAGGTGAAGGTGGTACTAAGAGACAGAGGTGTGGACTCGAGTCATGTGACTTGGACTCGAGTCAGACTCGAGTCATGAATTTGATGACTTCAGACTCGACTTGGACTTGCATAACAATGACTTTGTCTCACCTCTGCTATGTGGACTCGAGTCATGTGACTTGGACTCGAGTCAGACTCGAGTCATGAATTTGATGACTTCAGACTCGACTTGGACTTGCATAACAATGACTTTGTCCCACCTCTGCTAAGAGACGTCGTCACGAATCACTAAAAATGAAAGAAAACAAAACACTGCACCTCGTGCGTGTCGATGCCGTTGTTGAGGGCCCACGTGGTCTGGAAGTACTCGAGCATGCGCTGCTTAAGCTGCTTAGGCAGTCGGTGGATGCGGATGAAGTCCTTGAGGTCCTTGGTCTTGGTGTGGTAGAGAGACCAACGAGAGTACATCCTCTGGATGATTGCCGTCACGTTGCCGAACACCACGGCGTGCATGAGGGCTGCGGGACGGACAACGCGAGACAACGCCGGTCATCACCACTGCTCAGCCACTCCGTCGACGTAGTCAACGCTGTCATCACGTGATGAGCGACGAGCCAGTTGTTGCCGAGATGCAGGATCCACGGTGATGGTAGCGTTCGGTACGGAAAATCAAACACTCAACTCGCTTTATCAACACAACACTGACTTAAAATATTTTTTTTTTTTAGAAAATCGGCGATGTGGCATGTGCTATGGAGAAAGGGCCATTGCCTGAAACGTCGTAGATTTAATATATATTTTTATTAAGGCCACAGTGTGAGTTGTCGTTAAATTTCGATTTAAAGCTTTCGTGACTGCAGGGATTCATCTTCTTGGTTCTTTCGGTAAAGTCACGTAGAAGGGAAGTAATAAAGTATTGAAAATAAAACATATTAAAATAATTAACTATTTCATTCAGACGCTGTCTCCCCGACAGACCTGGTCTTCACCTGAGGACGGCTGTTTGCGTTGTGGCGGAAACGTCGTGAGAATTATTTTATTATGTTAAATGTTTATTATTTTATTATTTCCATTCTACGTGACTTTACCGAAATAACCAAGAAGATAAGTTGTCGTTGTTGTTGTCAACTGTGCGTCTGCATCACGGGCAACGCAGCAGTAGGGAAGAATAATTTTGTTTTGGAAAATATCGCGATTACCATTGCTCGCTTTCATTTTGACACAAGCGTTTTGAGTAAATAGCACACTCAATGATTAAAGTGTAAATTAAAACAGCTATTACCTACTGCGTTGTGTTTTGCCAATAGTTTTTTTGGGGGTAATTTGGAACAAAGGCAGTTATTATAGGATGTAATCAATTTGGACTTTTTTTGTAACTATTTAATTATGTCTTGCGTAATGGACAGCACGCGCCTAATATGCATCTCAGCATCGCAACATTTAAATAATTACTAAACCGTTGATTGCTGCCATTAGGGTGAGTGAAAGTGAAACAAGTTTCCAGGAATATTCCTTTGTACGAGAAGTGAAGTTAGACAATTCAAACAACTCCCTGGCTGTCACCTGATGATGCTGGTTGTTATAATTACCGGCGAAACGTCACCGAACATGAATTATAAATATTGTGTGTTGCAGTGGGTCTACTTTCCAACACACCGGTGTGCTGAACTAGTAACTAATTAGCACGTTTTGTTCACGTGACAAATCCCGACTAATTGGCCGTGTTGGGTGGTGGTGGCGGGTTTAACAGGTTTAACGACACATTGGTATTTACGCTATCTAACTCCCAAAAAAATAAAACTCTTCTAGGTAAGATAAAAAAAGTGACCCACAATTACGAATACCACTGGAAACTCGATATCACAATACGAATTTTATCCCTGAAGAAGCTCGCGGCGCGTGGCGCGGAACGTCGGACAAAGCATCGCTAACGCGTCGGAGAGCAGAACTGTCGTCCACGTGCAACGAAAAATTCCATCCCATCGGGAAAATCTGTCGGGGGAAAGCAGGCGACCGACTCACCCCCGGTGAGCATGGCGCATATGGAGAAGATCTTCTCGGCGTCCGTGTTTGCCGACACGTTGCCGAAGCCGACGCTGGTGAGGCTGCTCAGCGCGAAGTAGAGAGACGCGATGTAGGCGCTGCGCAGGTTGGGTCCCCCGCGGGTGTTGTTCGCGTAGTACGGCCGGTCCAGCCGCTTGCCCAGCTCGTGCAGCCAGCCTTGCGGGACGAGATTTACGCGTTCGACAAAATAAAAATAATAATAATGATGTAAGTAAAATTTGTAACGCGCGCAGATTTGCAGACGTAGTGGCCGCAACTCAGAGGCGCGGAGCCAAGCTCAGAGTCGCTCGAAAGCACGTGGTTGTAGAGGTGAGTTTGTAAGTGTCTCTTGAAGGAGGCGATTGAGATGATGCTGCGAATGTGCAGAGGGATATCGTTCCAGACTGTTGGGGCAGATCCCACCACCCCAACTCCCCCGTATAGCCTTGATGGAATTTTTTTTTTTGGGGGGGGGGGGGGCAAGGGCTGTTAGCGAGTAGCGCTGGATCGTCAATCGACTGAATTGTAAAAGGGTGGCGGAGTGGTGGCACGGTGGTTAGCGCGCCGTGGGACTTGGTAGCCTTGGTTTGATTCAGGGCGGTGGTTAACATCAGTGGCAAGCGGCGTCTGAACTGGTCCTGGGCACCTCACCCCAATTACAAAAAAAAGCCTGTACAGCCTTTAAACAAAGTGCTGTTAGCAAGCACCTGTGAAGGCTGGCACAGCACACGAAGTGGTGGGTGGCAAACACCACTCCCGGCTGCCTTTGTCTCCCCAGTGGTGATGTTTACACATTGTGCCAGGTACTCAGTTGAGGCTGAGTCGACCTAGGGGGGGGCCCAGGACCGATTCAGATCATCGTCACCAGTGTTGGTGGCCGTGAGCGGAAATTAAACTTTGCTCGCCGGCGTTCGTAGCGCAGCGCGCCAACCGATACGCTACCGCTCCGCTCTAACACGCATACGCACATACACAAAGATGAAACAAAGATCCCCCGTATAGCCTTAACAGACTATAGGGGCAAGTGCTGTTTAACGAGCACCTATGAAGGCCGGAACGGTACACGAGGGGGTGGGTGGCCAGCACCACGTCCGACCGCCTTTGTCTCCCTAGTGGCGATGTTTACACACCGCACCAGGTACTCATTTGAGGCTGAGTCGACCTAGGGGAGGCCCAGGACCGGTTCAGATAATCGTCATTGGTGTTTGCCGTGAGCGGGAATCGAACCCGGGTCGCCAGGTTCGTAGTGCAGCGCGCTAACTGCTACACTACCGTTCCCCACACACACACACATAAATACACGCAGTCGAAAATTCACAATTTCCGTGACCACTGTGATCTCTGTGACCTCCGCGCCGGGCTATGAAGATAGGGGAAAATTGGGCAGTGGGGGGCAGGGGGTGGGGGCAGGGGGTCAGGGGTGGCCCCCGTAAATCCTTCCAGCGTCAAGGTCCAAATTGTCCTCACTTCACAAATGACCTGCAAAGAGGAAATAAAAGAAACACCCACCAACCACATCGCAACACCGGCCCCCTATACTGGCATCCTAATACTGGTAGGAACCACCTGGTTCCACCAGCCCACAGGGGATTATTGTGTCCGTCCGTCCGTCGTGCATCCAAAAATGGGAGGGGTGGGGCTGGGTGGGGAGGGTGGGGAGAGGCTGGGTGGGGAGGCGAGGGTGGGGAGGGGCTGGGTGGGGAGGGTGGGGCTGGGTGGAGGATGGGAGGGGTGGGGCTGGGTGGGGAGGGGCTGGTCACCCCGTGGTGCCCTTATAAAACTCAACGTTTAACCTACTCACGCCGGCTTGTGCCCGCCCTCACAGTCGGCCATATTTTTGCGGAATACACCACGCCGCCGTTGACCCTGGCCATTGACCGAGCAACCCAACGTTCCTACCAGCTCCCTCCGCAGGAATGTGTTTTCCAACTGATAGCCGGGACTGAGTATGTATGTATGTTGAACTTCTTTCGCACCGTACGTAGCCAACCGTGTTAATTAGAGGTGCGGGGGTAGAACAACAAACCAAACACGCAAAAGCAGTTCTAAAGAAACGAGTTTTCCATCTATAGTGCATATCTGCAGTGGCTTCCTCATCTTGGACAGATAGAGACTCACAGAGACCCACAGAGATCCACAGACTCGTACAGAACCACAAAGACCGACAGAGACTCACAGAGACCCACAGAGATCCAGAGACTCGTACAAAACCACAAATACCGACAGAGACTCACAGAGACCCACAGAGATCCAGAGACTCGTACAGAACCACAAAGACCGACAGAGACTCACAGAGACCCACATAGATCCAGAGACCCGTACAGAACCACAAAGACCGACAGAGACTCACAGAGACCCACAGAGATCCCATACTCGTATGTATGTTGAGCTTGATAATAGTTTTTTTTACCCTTCTATCTGGCAACAGAGTTATGTTTTTTGTTTGCATTATGACTGCAGGTATTGTGGTTTATGTAAACATGACTCCTTGTAAAAAAAGGTGTCAGTTTTGTTGCCAGATAGAAGGGTAAAAAAACAATTGTCATATTTGTACTGGCAAATGAGGTTCCAATGGTATAATCTTAATTTTTGAGCTTTCGTGACTGCAGGAATTATTCTTGGTTCTTTCGGTAAAGTCACGTATAAAGATAAAACAATAAATTAAATAATAGCATACTACGACGTTTCGATTGCAACACAAGCAATCATCGTCAGGTATAAAAGAAATCGCGACAAAAATCTAACCAATGGTACGTTGAGCTTCTTTCGCACCGTACGCTGATCGAAGGTGCCCTGCTCGTGGGCTCCCGGGGGGGAGAGAGCGGTGGTGGTGACAGAGGCAGGCGGCAGGCGGAGGTTCCATGAGGTCGGGGGGGGGGGGGGGGGAGGAGGCTCACCGATGTTCCAAGTCTCCGGGTCGTTTGCTGCCATCTCCTTGCGTCCGATGACGAACCACACGCAGGCCATCCAGTGGGCGAGCAGTGCGAACGTGCACATGAGCATCGCCAGCACGACGGCGCTGTACTGCGAGTAGCGCTCCAGCTTCTGGCGGAGACGCAGCAGTCGCAGCAGACGCACCGTCTTCAGCAGGTGCACCAGCGACGTCTGTGCTCGCACCCAGAGAGAGAGGGGAACTGTTGCTGCATAGACTGCTGCTGCTGCTGCTGCATATGCTGCTGCTGTTGCTGCATAGGCTGCTGCTGCATAGGCTGCATGTGCTGCTGCTGTTGCTGCATAGGCTGCTGCTGTTGAATGGACTGGTGCTGCTGCTGCTGCTGAATGTACTGCTGCTGCTGAATGGACTGGTGGTGCTGCTGAATGGACTGGTGGTGCTGAATGGACTGGTGGTGCTGCTGAATGGACTGGTGGTGCTGAATGGACTGGTGGTGCTGATGAATGGACTGGTGGTGCTGATGAATGGACTGGTGCTGCTGCTGCATAGGCTGCTGCTGCTGAATGAACTGGTGCTGCTGCATGTACTGCTGCTGCTGCATAGACTGCTGCTGCTGCTGAATGGACTGGTGCTGCTGTTGAATGTACTGCTGCTGCTGCATGTACTGCTGCTGTTGAATGTACTGGTGCTGTTGCATGGGCTGCTGCTGCATAGACTGCTGCTGCTGCTGAATGGACTGGTGCTGCTGCATAGACTGCTGCTGCTGCTGCTGCATGTACTGGTGCTGCTGCATGCATTGGTGCTGCTGAATGGACTGGTGGTGCTGCTGCTGCATGTACTGCTACTGCTGCATGTACTGCTGCTGCTGCTGCATGGGGTCCTGCTGCTGCTGCTGCTGCTGCACGGGCTGCATGGTCCACAGTACAGAGTTGCAATCGAGACGCAGCAGTGCAAAGCGGTGTTTGAGATAATTGCTCAGCAAGGAGGTGATCGCAAACCAAATACGTTTCACACACGAAACGTCATGCGCACACAAGCAAACAGGTGAAACGCTATGCTGTGCCCGAGATCGCCCTCTCTTGTGCCCACTTAATTTGAGTGATGCACACGCCATGTGACAATCATCTCTTCAATGTAGTCTCGTAATTATGAATTGTGGGTGCGCGCAAATAACATTTATGGGCTAGGCGTTCCGAAACGCTGCGGACAACACAACAGATGCCTCCTGTTTTTGGCAAACTTTTCATTTCGTCCACTGTTCTCGTATGTTGGAGGGGAAATTAAAAAAAAAATTCGCAAGAGAGCAAATTTCAACTTTTCGGTAAAAAAAAAATCACATTCCTGCGGAGGGAGCTGGTAGTAACGTTGGGTTGCTCGGTCAATGGCCAGGGTCAACGGCGGCGTGGTGTATTCCGCAAAAATATGCCCGACTGTGAGGGCGGGCACAAGCCGGTGTGAGTAGGTTAAACGTTGAGTTTTATAAGGGCACCACGGGGTGACCAGCACCTCCCCTCCCCACCCAGCCCCACCCCTCCCACCCCCCACCCAGCCCCTCTCCACCCTCCCCACCCAGCCCCTCCCCACCCTCCCCTCCCCACCCAGCCTTACCCCACCCTCCCCACCCAGCCCCTCTCCACCCTCCCCACCCAGCCCCTCCCCACCCAGCCCCTCCCTCCCCGACGGACACAATAATCTCCTGTGGGTTGGTGTAACCAGGAGGTTACTAGCAGTATGAATTTTCAGTATCACTTCAAATGCAGTTGCCTCTGCCGCGCAGAGAGCTTCTTGGTGCCACCGTCAACATTGATTCCGCAGGGCGAAAAGAGCGCAAACACAGCGCGGGGTCGTGAGAGAATGCGACCCCGAGAAAGTGTCCCGTGAGAATTGTGTTGCGTGTGCAGGTTTGCGCACAGGGCGTATCTGCCCGAGTGAAATCAGCGTCTGAAAAAAATGCGTACGCACCTAATTCATAATGCATACATGGATACACGTAAACGCACGCTGTACGTTGTTTAACGGCGCTATTACCCGATTTGTACCCGCCCGCATTATTTAACGTGGACAAATTTTCACCGCCGTCATCATTTAAACAGCGCGTTGAGAGGCGATGCGTGGCGAGAAAATGCCGAACAAATCAGGAGCGGCAGGCCCCCTCTTCGGGACTGACCGCGAGAGAGGAAAACTTTTTTTTTACAATTTTTTTTACATGTATTATGTTATTATTTCCCTTCTACGTGACTTTACCGAAAGAACCAATAATATGAATCCCTGCAGTCACGAAAGCTTTCAATAAAAAGTATTACAACTTTTCGATTTAAAGCTTTCGTGACTGCAGGGATTCATATTCTTGGATCTTTCGGTAAAGTCACGCAGAAGGAAAATAATAAAATAATAAAAATAAAACATAATAAAATCATTCTCACGACGTTTCGGCTACAACGCAAGCAGCCATCCTCAGGTGGAGAACAGGTCTGTCGAGGACCTGTCGAGGACCTGTTCTCCACCTGAGGACGGCTGCTTGCGTTGTGGCCCGAAACGTCGTGATAATTATTTTATATTTTATTTTTATTATTTTATTATTTTCCATCTACGTGACTTTACCGAAAGAACCAAGAAGATGAATCTCTGCAGTCACGAAAGCTTCAAATCGAACAAGAACACCCTCGTGGGCGAGTGCTCTCTCTCTCTCTCTCGTTAAATAATGGCTTTAGTTGGCGGGCACGTTCCTTCTTCACACCCCCACATCCCTCCCCTCCCTCGGCGCAGGTTCGCTCGAAGGCTCGTTGCAAGCCTCGGGGAGGCCTTACCACGGTGATGTTGAGCGCGAAGAGAAGGTCGAAGGGCAGGGCTGCGATGAGATCGATGAAGAACCACGTGGTGGAGTAGTGCATGCAGATGAGCCGTGAGTCGTACACCACTTGGCCGGACTTGCTGACAAACGTGGTGCGGAAATTCAGGATGATGTCTGCACGGGGACACACGCATGGCAACGTGTCGTCACGACGGATTAGCAGGTTAAAGGCGCAGCCCTGCAGTTGCATGCTTGCTTGCTGGGAATCTGTGAAAAAGATCTTTATAGCTTATCGGATTCCTCCACTTTGTACGCCACTGCAGGAAGAAGTGCCGACGCTTAAAGGATCGTTAAATAGCCCCCCTAGGGCATTGGTTCTGAACTATGTTTGGCTACTCCTGTACCCCACCGTTGCTGATTTTAGTTTCAACCGAGTAACCCTCTTGGCTGAATCTTAATTTTGGAGCTTTCGTGACTGCAGGAATTATTCTTTGGTTTTTTCGGTAAAGTCACCGTATAAAGATAAAATAATAAATTAAATAATAGCATACGACGTTTCGATTGCAACACAAGCTGGCCCAACGTGGTCCTGAGAAATAAATGTATGAACAAGGAATATCAATAATTTAACCGATTGTCCATTTTGCGAGGTATATCCTAACTTAGCTAAGTAACCGCAAGATAATAGATTTTTTTTTAAACGAACACTCTGCACGTGTGATGGTATTTGTTCGCGTTTTCTGGTTACCCTTGGAAACCACATTGTTTACAATCTGTGAGTTTATAAATGTTTTTTTTATGCTTTTCTCGGTTACCGTATGTTTTTACATTTTATCGCCGTTTTATTTTACATTGGCAGATTCGTACGCGATTGTTCACCAATGACTCTCGTGCATGATTTCATTTCTCACATCGATAAATCACCTCCCGTTTCCCCGTGGGACATTGCCCATGTAACCCCCGCAAGGGGTATGCGTACCCCTGGCTGAGAACCCGTGCGCTAGAAGCTCTCGATGCGAGATGCTCTTTCTGAGGACCAAAGTGGTGCAGGCTTTTAGTGTGCTGATCTTGAAGGTGCATTGAAAAATGATAATACTCCGATTGATACGCCTGCTGTTGTGGAGTGGCTTTTGACTTGCATCCCACTGGGATTTTTGCACACAGCGTTGGTGTACGGTGTTTTTTTTTCTGCAATATTCTGCTGTCTTTTCTTGGATTTTCTGTTTGCACTTAGTCACATATTCACTTTAAGATGTTTTTTGTTCGTGTTTTTGTTTTTTGTTTGTTGCGGTTGCACCCGATTCAAGAGCCGAATGGCTCACAGGGCTACACCTAATACATGAACTTGAACTTGAGCCCCGACCTTCCCCCTTCCAATACGTTCCATACATTGGCTACCACATTCTGATAAGCTCCCCCCCCCCTCAGCTTGTATTTAAGAACTTGCATCTTGAATCCCTGCCTCACTTGATGCAGCAAATCTGGCTGTGACGGTCCCACCTGATGACAGAGACTTGTGTTGCCTCCGAAACGTCGTGATTTTTATTATTTTATTTTTATTAACAAATTTTACCTACGTGACTTTACCGAAACAACTAAGAGTAATAGTATGGTGCAGGCTGCAGTAAAGGTTCAGACCCGCTTTTCTCGAGGTTATTTTTGCGGCCTATCTCAACTCTTACACACTGACCAGGCGTCTTTGGATAGATATGGTTCGTGCCGACACTTTACCCAGCACACATGAACTGGATCTTCTTCTTTGACCTCAATCGCTGCTCTGCCCTTCTGCGTGGTGAACCCGTTTATTTCTGCACGTGTGGACAGAGGAGGGAGGAGGAGGTGGTGGCCATGAGAGGGGGGGGGGGGCATTTGTAAAACTTTTGCACTATTTTTCGATTTAAATAATAAAATAATAAAAATAAAACATAATTAAATATAATACAAATTCGATTTAAAGCTTTCGTGACTGCAGGGATTCATCTTCTTGGTTCTTTCAGTAAAGTCACGTAGAAGGGAAATAATAAAATAATAAAAATAATACACATAAATAATAGAATATTATTTTATTATTTCCCTTCTACGTGACTTTGCCGAAAGAACCAAGAAGATGTTGCACTATTGTTAGCAACGCCCCCACCCCTCTCCCTGGATTGCAAGTCCATTGTGCCAAACATGTGAATTTGAACTGTGTACGAATCTTGCTTTGGCCCAAAATATTTGGTATCTTTTATATATTTAATTATCATTGCGTGTCTGTGTTAAATGACAGCATTTCCATATGAATGCCAAATTCGGGTTCGCTGCATATGCACTTATGGCCGGGTGGGCTAAGAGGCGCACGCGATGTGTAAATAGCCTTCTTTTGTGCTGGTGCCGACAGAAATGATGTCGACAACCCAGGGCCAGATTGCCGAAACAATTAACCCGTAAAAACAAAGTTTTTCACTATAAATCCTTTATATGCGTGGCATCGGTTTTATTTTATTATTCATTTGTTTTTCTTGAGTAAGAGTTTCATTTTTATCACATTGGTATATTAAATAAAATATGAAAAAAATGTGTTTCCTAAAAAGTGGAAAATTTGCAAAAAAATTTTCACCAAAATAAATTGTCACGCACAACGAGTCTGTGTGCAAAATGTCAGCTCGATTGGATCACGGGAAGTGGGTTAAAAAAAAACGACTGAAAGATTTGCACGGTCGTAAGCGCGCAAGCAAGCAAGCAAGTGAACTTAATATAAAGGATTTAAAAAGCAAGAAGAGGCTTTTATCCTTTCTGGCGATAAAACCGGCAGGTATATCTTTGGGACCTTTTTTCTGTGCCGGATAGGTATGACTGCTCAACCTGAGCTTTTGATGCTTTGATACTCGCTTTGCCTTTCTACTGTTTGACTTTTTGGTCGTCTCACACTTGTGGGTGAGACTAGGCCATGAAGAAGACTGTCTCTGGCGTCGGCCAATCGAGTTTCAAAGACAACGCAAATGATATTATTATTATCAGAGCACGTTTGTTTGAATGTTTTGCCACGAGTACGTGTGGTTAATGCAAAAACATATCTCTTAAGTGTTTCTAGAAAGGGTTAAAGGGAAAAAATCGTAATCAAATTCCTTTGTCAAGGCGCTCTTCCCCCTCCAACCCAGCTTAAATATACGCTTCCAAACATGGTGGTGTTCATTCAGACGCTGTCTTTCCGACAGACCTGTTCTTCACCTGAGGACGGCTGCTTTTGTTGTGGCCGAAACGTCGTGAGAATTGTATTTAATTATGTTTTATTTTTTTATTTTATTATTTCCCTTCTACGTGACTTTACCGACAGAACCAAGAAGACAGAACATGTATTTATACTGGAAGAATCCGAACAACTATGAAGCTCGTTATCACAGATGTCCAGTTGGGGCGTGTAAACACGTTACAACAACAAACAGTACAACACACGATAGCAGCGCAAAGTCCAAGAAAGGTCAACAAATCACCCAAACACAAACAAATACATCACTAAACCATCCACCAGACCAAGCTCACTGAGCTATTAACTTAATAACTTATTGTTCAAAAAGCGACCTGGCCACAAATGATAGCTCAACAAAGTGGCCTTTCATTTGGACATTTATAGCGGCAACATTATCTAAATAGTCTAAACGCACCTTGATTCAAAAATGTGGAGGGAAAAACCGGAGGACCTGGAGAAATTAAAAAAATCCACGCGACCCACGGGGAGATGGTGATACAACGCAAACTCAAACATACAGAGGGCATCAGGGGTCGGGATCGGAACCCCGGCCTGCTGCATACCAGGCGAGGTAGTTAACATCTCACCACCTACAATTTGACATTCAGGCGGTAAGGTCACAGCCATAGCTGTCAACCCCTTATCAGTGTCCTACCTTGTTACAGACCAATTCAGATCTCACCCCGTGTCACTTATACATCTCAACGTTCATCCTACAAAGTCACTATACACTTACTCTATTATACACTACACTATACACTACACTATACACTACACTATTACATACCTATCAACCCCTTAGCAGTGCCCTACCTTGTTACATGCCAAGTCAGACCTTACTGGTCACCCCATTCCATTATAAATCTCAACGTTCATCCCATCACAAGGGGAAAAACACAAATTAGACCACATTTTTGTTGCCCTATCGAAACGGCTGGACCTGAAAACTCAATTTGCCTGGACAAGAATACGGGTTAAATCGTATGGGTTGACAGGTATGGGCGTGTAGTGTGTAATGTAGGGTATAGTAGTGTAGTGTATAACAGTGTATTGTATGGTAGTGTAGATGAGTGTAGTGTATATTAGTGTATAGTGTAGTGTATAATAGTGTACAGTAGTGTAGTGTATAGTTCATACCTGTCAACCCCTTATCAGTGCCCTACCTTATTACAGACCAACTCAGACCTTATTGGTCACCCCGTGCCCCTTATCAATCTCAACGTTCATCCTCCAAAGTCCCATCCACAAGAGTGAAACACACAAACAAATAAGTCAACATAGATTTGTTGCTGTTGTTGTTCTTGTGGCCCCGTATTGAAACGGCTGCTCGCCGTATGGACCTGCAAATCTCCCTGCGCGTGAATTCGGGGCCATGAACCGCTATGGTCCGACAGCCATGAGTGGAGAGAGGGGGGGGGGGGGTGTAAAGTAACCGAGCAGCAGTAGCAGCAGCAACAACGCGGTATTCGGGAGGCGATGGGGGTGATGGGAGAAGGGGGGGGTCGAAGTGCATCAACGGACCCGTGATGAAGAGGAATTCGACGGCGATGTCGCTGACGATGGTGATGCGTGACGGCACGGGCTTGTCCTCCTTCCCCACGAAGCAGACGTTGTAGGGCACCGTGAGAGCCACGTAGAATGTCGCCAGCAAGGTCAGCCAGTCCCAGCCGGCTGAGACGGGCGGGTCGGGTGGTGGAGGGGAGAGACGATACACAATTCGCGGCGTTACTCGAGACGCGTTCGCGGGACGATTCTCTGTGCCATGTTTGCACCGTTGTCCTGCCTACGTCTCGACCTGCCCCGCGGTCAACGCCAGCTGCAAAGATAAAGACAAAGATCCCATCCCGTATAGCCTGTAACGGACCGTAGGGGCAAGTGCTGTTGGCGAGCACCTATGAAGGCCGGCACGGCACCACAAGGGGGTGGGTGGCCAGCACCGCGCCCGGACGCCTTTGTCTCCCCAGTGGCGATGTTTACTACACACCGCACCAGGTACTCGTTTGAGGCTGAGTCGACCTAGGGGAGGCCCAGGAACCGGTTCTTATTCACGTCACTGGTGTTGGCCATGAGCGGGAATCGAACCCAGGTCCCCAGGTTCGTAGCGCAGCAAAGCGCTAACCACTGCACCACCGCTCACCCTAACGCTTTTATATGCTGAACCGTCTATATGTGTTTGTGTTCATCTTCCCTTTCGATTCGTGCAGTTCACCTGTCGCAGATTGGCCCTCGCCCCCGCCTCTGCAGTCGCGGCAAATAATTATTTGTCAGAATATTTTCTTTTTTTTAGCAATTCAATTAATGCGTCGTGATGTGTCACGGCAGGTGGGTGGCTTCTCTCATTTGTTTTTGTCAATTCAATAATGTTGATCGTGAATAAAAAACAAAAAATGTGCCCTCGTTTATCAGTCGCGGATTTCTGCAATTATCCACCAGGCAGACCACGTGTTCCAGAAGGAACGAGAAATCAAGCAATTGCTCCGATTTGAGATTCGATGAAAAACAGAAGCAAGCATCGTATTGTATGCCTTTAATGTTCTTCATAGATGTTTGTTGCTGTTAATCCACTGCTGGATAAAGGCCCGGGAAAAGTTGCTGGGATGGGTGCGGTGTGTAGTAAACATCACCGCCACTGGGGAGACAAAGGCGGCCGGGCGTGGTGCTAGCCACCCACCCCCTCGCGTGCCGTGCAGGCCTTCACAGGTTCTCGCTAACAGCACTTTCCACAACAGTCTGTTGAAGGCTATACTGGGGGATCTTTTGTCTTTGTGGTGAGTGCCAAGGACCAGTTCACATACCGCGCTTGTCACCGATGTTAGCGTGGCCGGGAATCAAACTCAGGCTACCAAGTCCACAGTGCAGTGCGCTAACCACTGCGCCACCACTCGACATTTGGGTTGACTGACGGTCCAGCGCTAATATCATTCCGGTCACTCATCACCTCCTTGTCACTCTTGTATCGCTACTAGCACGGTTACTGTTCTCGTCAACTTCACTTATTCATTCTCCCTCTCCATGTTGAGAGGGAGACATCTGGAGCAGGCCCGACTGGCGCGTCTCGATCCGTCACGTGGTGTTGAACCCCATCACACCGCAACGAGCATTACTCCACAACTCTGGCTGTCCTCCTGATGATGCTGGTTGTTGTTGTGATTATACCGGCGAAACGTCACGCCACTCGAATTGTCAATGTCGTCGTGGGTTTACTCTCCAACGCACAACCGGTGTGCTGAACTAGTGTACTACACTATACACTACACTATACACTACACTACTATACACTACACTACTATACACTACACTACTATACACTACACTATACACTACACTATACACGACACTAGAATTGTAAATGTCGTAGTGGGTTTACTCTCCAACACACAACCGGTGTGCTGGACTAGTAAACTACACTATACACTACACTATACACTACACTATACACTACACTATACACTATAATTATAAATGTTGTAGTGGGTTTACTCTCCAACACACAACCGGTGTGTGCTGAACTAGTATACTACACTATACACTACACTATACACTATAATCGTAAATGTTGTAGTGGGTTTACTCTCCAACACACAACCGGTGTGCTGAACTAGGAACGGTTTGGCACAATCGTGTTACGTTTCCTAACCCTAGCCAGTCTCACCCCTTCATTTAACCTCAATCAGTTCTTTTATCTATCTTATCGTACGCATAGAGAGGCTTTCATAGGCCCCTCTGACAGAAATGCCTCCCCTATACGTGTGCTATGAATAAGGGCACTAGCTCAAAATGTCACCTTTTATATATCTTTTTTTTCCTTTACGAGCCACGGTGTGTGATTGACAAATGAGTCGAGTGTTATATGGAGTATATCTTTTTTCCTAAGCGGAGCAGGCATTTGCCGCACCGACCACGAATTTATCTTGAAAATGGGTCCCGCACAGCGGTTCATTATAGGCATTCTCATGTACTTGGTTGCTACGTTGGTGCACTAAAAGGAAATCCTTTTTGGGCACTTTTCTAGTCGAGTTAAAAATAAGACCGACCTCATTATCATTCCGCCTGTGTTTCTGAGAACCTGCCGTCACGTGTGAGGATCGGGGTGTTAATTTCCGTTGATTGAAATTAGCACCAAAAAAATATTCGTCAGCGAAGCGTTTTGGTTTATTTTAGCCGACGGTGGCCGCCAGAGGATGAAGTTCACCAATCGTGATGAAGACTTTGACTTCTTACCCCCCGAATACCACCAGCATCACCAGCACCACCACCAGCACCACCAGCACCACCACCAGCACCACCAGCACCACCAGCACCACCACCACCAGCACCACCACCAGCACCACCAGCACCACCAGAACCACCACCACCAGCACCACCACCAGCACCACCAGCACCACCAGCACCACCACCACCAGCACCACCACCACCACCACCAGCACCACCAGCACCACCAGCACCACCACCACCAGCACCACCAGCACCACCACCAGCACCACCAGCAGCACCATCACCACCACCACCAGCACCACCACCACCACCACCAGCACCACCACCAGCACCACCAGCACCCCCACCAGCACCAGCACCACTACTAGCACCACCAGCACCACCACCACCAGCACCACCAGCACCACCACTAGCACCACCAGCACCACCAGCATCACCACAAGCACCACCAGCACCACCACCACCAGCAGCACCACCACCACCAGCACCATCAGCACCACCAGTACCACCAGCACCACCAGCACCACCACCAGCACCACCACCACCAGCACCACCACCAGCACCACCAGCACCACCAGCACCAGCATCACCACCAGCACCACCACCAGCACCACCAGCACCACCACCAGCATCACCACCAGCACCACCAACACCACCACCACCATCACCACCACCACCAGCACCACCACCAGCACCACCACCACCATCACCACCAGCACCACCATCACCACCACCAGCACCACCAGCACCAGTACCACCAGCACCACCATCATCACCACCAGCACCAGTACCACCAGCACCACCAGCACCACCAGCACCACCACCAGCAGCACCACCACCACCAGCACCACCAGCACCACCAGCACCAGCATCACCAGCAGCACCAGCACCACCACCACCAACACCAGCACCACCAGCACCACCAGCACCAGCACCACCAGTACCACCAGCACCACCATCACCACCAGCACCACCAGCACCAGTACCACCAGCACCACCAGCACCACCACCACCAGCACCACCAGACCATGACTGCGCACCAACACCACGACCACCAACAAACAACAAAGATCCCCCGTATAACATTGACAGACTGTTGGGGCAAGTGCTGTTAGCAAGTAGCATCTATGAAGGCCGGAACGGCACACGACGGAGTGGGTGGCCAGCACCACGCCCGACCGCCAGTGACGATGTTTCCACACCGCACCAGGTACTCATTTGAGGCTGGAGTAGACCTAGGGGAGGCCCAGGAACCGGTTTCTATTTCACGTCACTGAGGTTGGCTGTGGGCTGGAATTGAACTCGGGTTGCCGGGTTCGTAGTGCAGCACGCTAACAGCTACACTACCGCTCCCCACCACCACCACAACTACAATCACCACCGTCACCGCCATCACCACGAGACTATGGCTTCGTACCAAAGACCAACACGTGGCTGACTGACGAGACAAAATTAAATTAACGAGTGTGAACGAAGATTCCGACGACAATTATTTGGTAACGCTGTTAAAGCAGTGCACTGAGAAACACCCAACATGGTCAATTTTGATTTAAAGCTTTCGTGACTGCAGGGATTCATATTCTTGGTTCTTTTGGTAAAGTCACGTAGAAGGGAAATAATAAAATAATATAAATATAATTTTTTTTCCCTCCTACGTGACTTTACCGAAAGAACCAAGAATATGAACCAAACATGGTGCTTTTTTCATACCTGTCAACCCTTATTACAGACCAATTCAGACCGTATTGGTAACCCTGTTCCCTTATAGATCTCAACGTTCATCCTACAAAGTCCCATCACAATGGAGAAGCACAAACAAATAGACAAACATTTTTGTTGCCCGCATTGAAACGGCTGTACGCCGTATGGACCTGGAAACTCAATTTCCCTTTACCAGAATACGGAGCAAACCGAATGGGTTGACGCGGTATGTCAATTGGCTATCCGTGTCTACATAACAAGATTAACCGAGGTCACCGATTGGCCGACCTGACAATATTGGTGGGGAGAATAACGCACTCCCCCAACGGCAAACATTCAGTCGCGGCGAGCGTTTGACTAAACGCTTGACGGTTCTAGCCTCTTGGCTACAATTTAAACCGCTGGCTAAATTTACCACTCATAAAGAGATGACCTTCACTTCAGGCAGCGCGAACCGCCCAATGGAATCTCCCCAAGCCTGGAACGTCTTTTCAAGAAGCGTCAAGAATACGAGTGATCGAGGGAAGAAGACAAAAAAATAAGAATAGCAAAGCACAGGAGGATGCTCCGGTCGGCTGTTAGGAATAGTGATAGCGCAAGTGTCTAGTTAACGTGTGATTGGCCAGTCTGTTAGGGCTCGTGATAGCGCTCGTGTCTAGTTAACGTGTGATTGGCCAGTCTGTTAGGGCTAGTGATAGAGCTCGTGTCTAGTTAACGTGTGATTGGTTAGTCTGTTAGGTCTAGTGATAGAGCTAGTGTCTAGTCAACGTGTGATTGGCCAGTCTGTTAGGGCTAGTGATAGCGCTAGTGTCTAGTTAACGTGTGATTGGCCAGTCTGTTAGGGCTCGTGATAGAGCTAGTGTCTAGTTAACGTGTGATTGGCCAGTCTGTTAGGGCTCGTGATAGAGCTAGCGTCTAGTTAACGTGTGATTGGCCAGTCTGTTAGGGGTCGTGATAGAGCTAGTGTCTAGTTACCGTGTGATTGGCCAGTCTGTTAGGGCTAGTGATAGAGCTCGTGTCTAGTTAACGTGTGATTGGCCAGTCTTTTAGGGCTAGTGATAGAGCTAGTGTCTAGTTAACGTGTGATTGGCCAGTCTGTTAGGGCTCGTGATAGAGCTAGTGTCTAGTTAACGTGTGATTGGCCAGTCTGTTAGGGCTAGTAATAGAGCTAGTGTCTAGTTAACGTGTGATTGGCCAGTCTTTTAGGGCTAGTGATAGAGCTAGTGGCTAGTTAACGTGTGATTGGCCAGTCTGTTAGGGCTAGTAATAGAGCTAGTGTCTAGTTAACGTGTGATTGGCCAGTCTGTTAGGGCTCGTGATAGAGCTAGCGTCTAGTTAACGTGTGATTGGCCAGTCTGTTAGGGCTAGTAATAGAGCTAGTGTCTAGTTAACGTGTGATTGGCCAGTCTGTTAGGGCTAGTGATAGAGCTAGTGTCTAGTTAACGTGTGATTGGCCAGTCTGTTAGGGCTAGTGATAGAGCTAGTGTCTAGTTAACGTGTGATTGGCCAGTCTGTTAGGGCTCGTGATAGAGCTAGCGTCTGGTTGGCTAGTTTGTTTGGGCTAGCGGTCGTGCTGGCGTCTGATTGGCTAGCGCACTCCAGTCTATACTCCGCCCAACGTGTCAAGTTTTTTTCCCTGGCAGGTGCCGCTCGTTCGCTCTCTCTCCGTCTCTCTCCGTCTCTCTCCACTAGCGCCGCTGTCGGCCTCGGGGCAGAGCTGGTGAGGCGCTGGGTTACCCTTGAAGGTGGCGTAGTGAAGCAAGATGAATCTGGACTTCTGCACCGTCGCCACCTTGTACTCCGGCAGCACCAGCTGCTCGCGTAGCACCCTCTGCGCGGAAAGGAGAAAGAAAGAACTTAATTCTAGATTTGAAGCTTTCGTGACCGCAAGGATTCATATTCTTTTTTTTTCACTTGATGCAACAAACGTGTTGTGACGGTTCCACCTGAAGACGGAAGCTTGTGTTGCCTCCGAAACGTCGTGACTTTTATTTTATTCTTATTTTATTTTACTTTTATTAATTTTAATTTCAATTCTTTTTTACCTACGTGACTTTACCGAAAAAAACCCAAGAATATAAAGCAGAACTTGCTGAAGCTGCTGACCCGACCGCCCACTGGACATCGGCGAGAAAGAGCTTTGCAGCTCATCGGATTCCTCCAAGTCAAAATTATTATTCTGATTCCGAGTCTGGGAAACGCTCCTTAAAAAATTCCGCGGAGCGTCTCTTTCTCGCGCGCGCGAAAGAACCCATCACGGTTTACCCCGTATTCTTGTACAGGGAAATTGAGTTTTCAGGTCCATGCGACGTACCGCCGTTTCAATACGGGCGAACATTTTTTTCTATTTGTTTGTGTTCCTCCCTTGTGATGGGATTTTGTAGGGTGAACGTTGAGATGTATAAGGGACCCGGGTGACCAATGCTGTCTGAATTGGTCTGTAATAAGGTAGGGTGCTGATAAGGGCTTGACAGGCATGTATATCTATTTTTTTTTACACACAATAGCCCGATTCAGAATGGGGAAAAACACACACACACACAGCTCCCTCCCTGCGAGCAATAAACCCAGGGGCCAGCTGCCCTCGGGATAAGGACCAGCCAAAGGGGACTGGGCTCCCTGCTCCCTACCTCCCCTCGTAGGGGCGACGATTGGGAACGTGGCAGGGGAGGGGGTGGGATGTACCCAAACAGAACAGCAACAAATTTCGATTTTAAGCTTTCGTGACTGCAGGGATTCATCTTCTTGGTTCTTTCGGTAAAGTCATTATTTTATTATGTTTCATTTTTATTACTTTATTATTTCCATTCTACAATAATTAATTTATTATGTTGTATTTTATTAGTTTATTATTTCCATTCTACGTGACTTTACCGAAAGAACAGCGACAAATAAAATAACACACACACACACGCGCGCGCGCATCGAGCGGATTTGTCATTCTTACAGATCCCCTGTGCCTTCGAACACCGAGCGGCTCACACACACAACACACACACAACACCAGTGGTGATTCAGGCGACGGATGTCGAAAGCCGGTGCACGGATTGCTTGTTATTGAACCAACGCCGCTGCCGTGCGGTTGACGGGCTTGCGTGTAAATATAGCTTAGACAACAACGAATAGACAGATGTGGGGACGAGGTGCAGAGGGGGGGGGGGGGGAGGTGGTGTTTAATCCACTATTTTATTTGGGATTGCAAATTAAATGTGCGTATGTTGAACTTATTTCGCGCCGTACGTAGCCAGCCGCGCTAATCGGAGGTGCGGGGGGAAAGACAACAAACTGTGGGTCTATGTGTGAGTCTGTGGGTCTCTGTGTGAGTATAAGGGTCTCTGTGTGAGTCTATGGGTCTCTGTGTGAGTCTATGGGTCTCTGTGTGAGTCTATGGGTCTCTGTGAGTCTATTGGTCTCTGTGTGAGTCTATGGGTCTCTGTGTGAGTGTATGGGTCTCTGTATGAGTCTATAGGTCTCTGTGTGAGTCTATGGGTCTCTGCGTGATTCTATGGGTCTCTGTGTGAGTCTATGGGTCTGTGTGTGAGTCTATAGATCTCTGCGTGAGTCTATGTATGTATATTGAACTTCTTTCGCACCGTACGTAGCCAGGCGTGCTAATCGGAGGTGCGGGGGGGGGGGGGAAGGACGACCAGAGTTCCCGTGATGGCCCAACGCTCCTTGACGCAATCAGCGAGGTCACCGTGGTCCGTCTGCGGCAAGCGCTTCGCTCGCGCGTGCGTAACGAGCGCGAACTTCCCAGCGGCCGTAACCATCACAGCGCTGCGGTTGCAACAATCCCCTTCCCACCCACCCACCCCACCCTGTACGGTGTAAATCACCGTGCATAGCCCCCCCCCCCCCCCACGCCTCCACACTCACGTTGTTGATCTTCAGCTTGCCTTTGCTCTCCTTGTTCTGCAGGTGGCCCGACAGGTGGTAGAGCACCGCGCGGCTTCTGCGCCGGCTTGACATGAACGCCGGGCGAACCGCCCGCCGCTTCTTCCGCCGGCTAGCGTCTTCTGGAGGGGGCGGGGAGGGGGGGGGCAGTGGGGGGGGGGCAGCGGAGGCAGGGGGGGGGTCACGTAACGCACAAACAGGACCTGGCCAGCGCACGTCACGGCTCAGACGGGGTTGACGGGCCCCGGTGATCAGAGGGTGTGAAGGTTCGCAAGTTCAGACTGAGAATCTTGATCCTTTTTGTGGGTCTTACGGTAAAGTCACGTAGATAGAAGAATAATCAAATAAGAATGTATTTTTAAATCCTTTATATTAAGTTCACTTGCTTGCTTGCTTGCGCGCTTACGACCGTGCAAATCTTTCGGTCGTTTTTTAACACCACTTGCCGTGATCCAATCGAGCTGACATTTTGCACACAGACTCGTTGTGCGTGACAATTTATTTTCGTGAAATTTTTTCCCCCAAAATTTTACACTTTTTAGGAAAAAAATAATTATATTTAATTAGCTTAGTGGTGGCAGGCAATAATCTGACCCATAGGTGGCAGCCATCTCAAGCCAGAGAACGAGAGGACTCTAGCCGCCACGCATATAAAGGATTTATAGTGAAAAACTTTGTTTTTACGGGTAAATTTTTTTCTATCTACGAGACTTTATCCAAAGACCCAAAGAGTATGCATTCCTGCAGTTACGAAAGCTTAAAGTCAAGATTTTAGAATCTTCATCCACGCGGCCGGATGAGGAGGAGAAATCCGATGGGCAGTGAATCTCCCTTATTTCACAGCGGTCTCCAGTCGGGGCACGGGGTGAGAACGTGACAACGAGCGACACAATGACACGTAACGAGTGTAAAGTATAGAGGGAAATGCCAACATCAATTACAAAATATGTGCAGATAAAGCGAAACAAACATTTGTTCCTAACCAGATACGGCCCACAGAGCGATCAGCTTCTTTTTCAGAAGCCATCTCGCCATCACAAATGATATCTCGACGAAACGGTGGCTTATCAAGTTCTTCCCCTACCCCTCCTCTACTCCTCCCCTCTATCCTTCCCCGTTCCCCAGTCCCTTTATCCGCCCCCGTTACTTTGCTACCCCCCCCTCACTTTGGCCCCCATTGAAACTCTCAGGCTCGCTGTCCCCACGTAAGCGGGGACAGTGAGCACATCATTTCCTCCACCTCTCCGCCCCCCGCGCCTGAAATATTTAAACATTTTTTTTCTTTCGATTTAAAGCTTTCGTGACTGTAGGGATTCATATTTCTTTGGGTCTTTCGGTAAAGTCACGTATAAGCGAAATAATAAAATAAAAAATTCTCACGACGTTTCCATTGCAACGCAAGCAACCATCATCAGGTGTGAAAACCACAGCAAGAAAATTTTGAAAAAAGTGGCGTTTTTTTCTGAACGTCAGCACCACGGACAGCAACTGGCGGTTGTTCAGACGGACGAATCCATCTCGGCTCGGAATGGAGGAGGGGGGAGAGAAAGAGAATGGAATGCGGTCTGAAAGTCACCGTAAGCGTGAACACAATCAATTAAGACCGCACGGGGCATGGCAGGCGATTTCAATCGACGTATCGTCAAAGGACGAGCACAAAATATAAACACGACTGAAACTAAACCAACACGTATACAAATACGGACATCAATAAGGTATCCGTTGCTGCTACGTTTCCATGGAAACATGACACATTTATGAAAACGTGCGATTCTTCATTTTTCATCGGCGGGTGTTATGCATTAAATAATAAAAACAAACTCGACTGTTACCCAGCTGAGAAATATTTTTGTTTACAAAAAAAAATCAATTCACGAGCGAAGATGGATGTGCGTCTTCGCCACTTTCATCATCATCATCATCAGCAGCAGCAGCAGCCATGATCAATCCACAGCTGGATGAAGGACTTTCCCAAGGCCGTTGCCCCCTCCAGCCCCCCCCCCCCCCAGATCTCACGACGCATTAACCCGCTCGGCACGCGCGCGCCACTTTCATTCCCATCGCTTCTTCCCACTCGATGAACGAGCCCAGCGAAACGCGTTCCCCACTCTCCTCGCTTGTCGCTCCGTCATTCATGCCCGCCGATGCACCCCCCCCCCACCGCCCCCCCACTGCTTGGTGTTCGAGACAAGCATTGAACCGATGTCCACACGTCCCTCGACGCCCACGTAGCCCCGCTGTGTTCTATACACCACTTTGCTGAACGTAAAAAAAGAACAATAACGAATAAACGATTGAACAAAAATTCCAAGCGCGTTGAAATCTTCGCGTTCATTTCTAGCACCCCCACGGACGGATGAGCAATTGCTTTAATTGATTCCGTTGCGGGGAAGTAAGCGAATTCTATTTTGGTGCGTTTTTTTTTAATTGAATGTCTCTCGCGCGCGCGCGCGGAAGCAGCCGTCACACGTACGAGGTAGGGACACTGCTGCCAGTCCACGCTTTGTGTTTTCAAATATAAAATTTTTTTCTCAAAAAATCGCGCCGCCAATAAAAATTCGTGCAAATTTTTTTACATTTTTTATCCCTGGTGCGCTCTCAGGTCGGAGCGCGCATTGATGTCCCCGTCGTCTCTCTCGACGCTCTGGGAGCTCCTTCCGTGGGGATGGAGCTGTTCACGACGAGACGTGACATGTGCACTGCGCAGAAACGACACGGAGAGTTGAGCGGTACTGGCCGCTAGAACCCACGCAGCCATGAAAAAGCGAAATATTTCTCGTTCATGGTTCGTTCGGTAAAGTCACGTAGAAGGGAAATAATAAAATCACTTTACCGACAAAACCAAGAATACGAATCCCTGCAGTCACGAAAGCTTTAAATCGAAAGAAATAATTCTCGTTCATGGCGTCAAAAAGAATTCGATTCAATGCGATGTCCCACCGTTTGCATCTGTGAAACTAAAATTCGATTATTTTATTTTACGAGGTAGGGCTCACTGAGCTACTATATAGCTGTTTTTTTCAGAAGCGACCTGGCCATCACAGATGACAGCTCAAGGAAGCGGCTTATCACGCGGGAACTTAAAAGCAGCCAAATATTCTAAACGCACGTTGATTATGAATGTGGAGGGAAAAACTGGAGGAATCGGGAGAAAAATCCACGCGACCGCAAGGAAAGCATGCGAAGTCTAAATGTACATGCATCAGAGTGGGAAAAGAAGCCACGACCTCCTCGATACCAGGCGAGGTAGTCAACATCTCCTGGCCACTGTGATAATGAGAGCGCGAGAGAGAGAAAGAGACACGCAAACTCCAAATAAACAGCAGGCGTCAGGGTTGGGATCTAACCCACGACGACCTCTTGTATACCAGGCGAGGTAGTTAACATCTCACCACGGTGAGAGAGAGATACACGCAAACTACAAATATACAGTTGGCGTCAGGGTCGGAATCGAACCCACGACGACCTCCTGTATACCAGGCAAGGTAGTTAACATCTCACCACGGAGAGAAAGAGACATGCAAACTTCAAGTAGACAACAGGCGTCAGGGTTGGGATCTAACCCACGACGACCTCTTGTATACCTGGCGAGGTAGTTAACATCTCACCACGGTGAGAGAGAGATACACGCAAACTACAAATATACAGCAGCAGGCGTCAGGGTCGGGATCGAACCCACGACGACCTCCTGTATACCAGGCGAGGTAGTTAACATCTCACCACGGAAAGAAAGAGACACACAAACTTCAAGTAGACAACAGGCCTCAGGGTCGGGATCGAACCCACGACGACCTCCTGTATACCTGGCAAGGTACTTAACATCTCACCACGGAAAGAAAGAGACACGCAAACTTCAAGTAGACAACAGGCCTCAGGGTCGGGATCGAACCCACGACGACCTCCTGTATACCAGGCAAGGTACTTAACATCTCACCACGGAAAGAAAGAGACACGCAAACTTCAAGTAGACAACAGGCCTCAGTGTTCGGGATCGAACCCACGACGACCTCCTGTATACCTGGCAATGTAGTTAACATCTCACCACGGAGAGAAAGAGACACGCAAACTTCAAGTAGACAACAGGCGTCAGTGTTCGGGATCGAACCCACGGGACCTCCTGTATACCTGGCGAGGTAGTTAACATCTCACCACGGAGAGAAAGAGACACGCAAACTTCAAGTAGACAGCAGGCGTCAGGGTTCGGGATCAAACCCACGACGACCTCCTGTATACCTGGCAAGGTAGTTAACATCTCACCACGGAGAGAAAGAGACACGCAAACTTCAAGTAGACAACAGGCGTCAGGGTTCGGGATCGAACCCACGACGACCTCCTGTATACCTGGCAAGGTAGTTAACATCTCACCACGGAGAGAAAGAGACACGCAAACTTCAAGTAGACAACAGGCGTCAGGGTTCGGGATCGAACCCACGACGACCTCCTGTATACCAGGCGAGGTAGTTAACACCTCGCCACTGCGGCTCTTCCGTGACACCACCTCTCACCGGATGCCTTCTGCCGACTCACCAGAGTTTCCCTCGAACGATAAACCTCTTGCGGGAACTTTCAACCCTCATCACAACAACACATGCGACGTTTGCGGAACCACGGGGAAGACGAGCGGGCGACTCGAATTCAAATTGCCGTGCAATTAAGATGCCGAGAGGTTTGCAATTTTGCGCGTGACTCACTGATGAACCGTGCCGAGCACATTACACCGAATTCATTATTGAGCGGAGTTGGGATATAGAAGACTATGTTACGTTGAATAAAATGTTTCTTTTTTTTAGTTAGAAGGCTTGTTTACCCGGGAGAAGCGTCACCGAGTCTCAAGAGTCATTTGCAGGAGGGTCCTGCCAAGGGTTTTCTCCGCAGTGGGAGGCTCCGTGCGTAAACACCAATCGAGTAAACATTGCGGCGACATTTTTTATCACATTGGGATGTTTGGCTGGTAGCGGTTGCGTTACCGTGTGTTTGCGTGCGTGTGTTCTGTGTTAATTTCATTCAGTCAACCTCAGTCAGTCGACCCGTGGCACCTGCTGGGTCTGTGCCGTGACCTCCTGCCAACGGGCGTTCGACACTTCGCATGGCCTTAAAGTGCACCTAGCCTGGCACGAGCGCCGCGGTGACGTCACCGCTAACCTAGTGGGGAACGGCGGTTGCTGTTGATGTTTGTTTTTTTCATCGATGGGAGGAAACTGGAGAACCCGGAGAAACCCGCATTGCAGAATATGGGAGAGAGCGCACAAAGTCTACGTTCAAAGGCCCCCCAATTCGGGACTCGAACCCAGGTTCCTATTGCTGCGAGGCGCGCGTGTTAACCAACAGCGCCAGCCTGCCGGTCAAATATTGGCACCTTTACTGCTTTACGCTTTTCCACACCGTCTGATTTTTAAAAAAAATTCGTGACAAAATCGACCCAACGCGATGCTTTCTCAAGTTTTGCGGCTAATAATATTTTGTTTTCGGCGAAGTTTGCGAACGCGAAGATTTCCTGACCTGAGGCTTGCAGCGAATCGCGGCGAAATAAAAACAATTCTCGTGATTTATTTTATATTTTATTTCGCGTGGCCCAGACAGCCGGGCAAGCTCGGTGACAATCGGATCGACCGAGCCGGTGACGATGCAACAAAAGAAACCTGCAACGATTACAACAACAACAACAGCAGCCAAGACAATCAATTCGATGACAATTATCCACGGGGGAGGGGGGGGGGGCAAAATTTTCGTCGACGAAAAAAAACTAAATAATGTGAGAAGCGCGGCCAACACAACAAAAAAAAAACGCACGCACGCAACCCCCCCCGCCTCCCTGCTGGGATATTTCAAACCCATATTCTTAGGTTTATTCGGTAAAGTCATGTAGGTAAAAAAATTAAATTAATAAAAGTAAAATAAAATAAAAATCACGACGTTTCGGAGGCAACACAAGCTTCCGTCTTCAGGAGGAACCGTCACAGCACGATAGCTGTATCAAGTAAATGAGAGATTACAAGAGATACCACTTCACTTGATACAGCTCTCGTGGCTGTGACGGTTCCACCTGAAGACGGAAGCTTGTGTTGCCTCCGAAACGTCGTGATTTTTATTATTTTACTTTAATTAATTTTTTTTTACCTACGTGACTTTACCGAAAAAAACCTAAGAATAGGAATCCTTGCAGTCACGAAAGCTTCTAATCTAGAATTATTTCAAAACCATTTTCACTTTGCGCGTAATGAGAGAGGACTTAAATCAAACTATTGCACGTCATTAGCGGCACGAATCTCTTCCCCCTCCCCCCTCCCCCCTCCCCCCTCCTCCCTCCATCACCACGCCGATTAACGCGGCGAGACGCGCAGGGCGGAGGGGAGCGGCGCGACCTGTAGGGACGTCCACTACGTATGTTGAACTGCTTTCTCGCCGTACGGAGCCAACTATGCTGATCGGAGGTGCGGGCGGGAAGGATAACGAACTGTGGGTCTCTGTGTGAGTCTGTGGGTCTCTTTGTGAGTCTATGGGTATCTGTGTGAGTCTGTGTCTCTGTGTGAGTCTAAAGGTCTCTGTGTGAGTCTATGGGTCTCTGTGTGAGTCTGTGGGTCTCTGTGTGAGTCTACGAGGCTCTGTGTGAGTGTGGGTCTCTGTGTGAATCTATGGGTCTCTGTGTGAGTCTGTGGGTCTCTGTGTGAGTCTACGAGGCTCTGTGTGAGTGTGGGTCTCTGTGTGAATTTATGGGTCTCTGTGTGAGTCTGTGGGTCTCTGTGTGAGTCTACGAGGCTCTGTGTGAGTGTGGGTCTCTGTGTGAATCTATGGGTCTCTGTGTGAGTCTGTGGGTCTCTGTTTGAGTCTATGGGTCTTTGTGTGAGTCTACGAGGCTCTGTGTGAGTGTGGGTCTCTGTGTGAGTCTGTGGGTCTCTGTGTGAGTCTGTGGGTTTATGTGTGAGTCTATGGGTCTCTGTGTGAGTCGATGGGTCTATGTGTGAGTCTACGAGGCTCTGTGTGAGTGTGGTCTCTGTGTGAGTCTATGGGTCTCTGTGTGAGTCTGTGGGTTTCTGTGTGAGTCTATGGGTCTCTGTGTGAGTCTATGGGTCTCTGTGTGAGTGTGGGTCTCTGTGTGAGTCTATGGGTCTCTGTGTGAGTCTGTGGGTCTCTGTGTGAGTCTACGAGGCTCTGTGTGAGTGTGGGTCTCTGTGTGAATCTATGGGTCTCTGTGTGAGTCTGTGGGTCTCTGTGTGAGTCTACGAGGCTCTGTGTGAGTGTGGGTCTCTGTGTGAGTCTGTGGGTCTCTGTGTGAGTCTACGAGGCTCTGTGTGAGTGTGGGTCTCTGTGTGAGGCTATGGGTCTCTGTGTGAGTCTGTGGGTCTCTGTGTGAGTCGATGAGTCTCTGTGTGAGTCTGTGGGTCTCTGTGTGAGTCTACAAGGCTCTGTGTGAGTCTGTGGGTCTCTGTGTGAGTCGATGAGTCTCTGTGTGAGTCTATGGGTCTCTGTGTGAGTCTATGGGTCTCTGTGTGAGTCTACGAGGCTCTGTGTGAGTGTGGGTCTCTGTGTGAGTCTGTGGGTCTCTGTGTGAGTCTGTGGGTTTATGTGTGAGTCTATGGGTCTCTGTGTGAGTCGATGGGTCTATGTGTGAGTCTACGAGGCTCTGTGTGAGTGTGGTCTCTGTGTGAGTCTATGGGTCTCTGTGTGAGTCTGTGGGTTTCTGTGTGAGTCTATGGGTCTCTGTGTGAGTCTATGGGTCTCTGTGTGAGTCTATGGGTTTATGTGTGAGTCTATGGGTCTCTGTGTGAGTCTGTGGGTCTCTGTGTGAGTCTATGGGTCTCTGTGTGAGTCTGTGGGTCTCTGTGTGAGTCTATGGGTCTCTGTGTGAGTCTCTGTGTCTGTGTGAGTCTATGGGTCTCTGTGTGAGTCTATGGGTCTCTGTGTGAGTCTGTGGGTCTCTGTGTGAATCTATGGGTCTATGTGTGAGTCTATGGGGCTATGTGTGAGTTTATGGGTCTCTGTGTGAATCTATGGGTCTATGTGTGAGTCTATGGGGCTATGTGTGAGTATATGGGTCTCTGTGTGAGTCTGTGGGTCTCTGTGTGAGTCTGTGGGTCTCTGTGTGAGTTTATGGGTCTCTGTGTGAGTCTATGGGTCTCTGTGTAAGTCGATGGGTCTATGTGTCTGTGTGAGTCTGTGGGTCTCTGTGTGAGTCTATGGGTCTCTGTGTGAGTCTATGGATCTCTGTGTGAGTCTATTGGTCTATGTGTGAGTCTATGGGTCTCTGTGTGAGTCTGTGGGTCTCTGTGTGAGTCTATGGGTCTCTGTGTGAGTCTATAGGTCTCCGTGTGAGTCTATGGGTCTCTGTGTGAGTCTATAGGTCTCCGTGTGAGTCTATGGGTCTCTGTGTGAGTATATGGGTCTCTGTGTGAGTCTATGGGTCTCTGTGTGAGTCTTCGGGTGTCTGTGTGAGTCTATGGGTCTCTGTGTGAGTCTTCGGGTGTCTGTGTGAGTCTATGGCTCTCTGTGTGAGTCTATGTGTGTATGTTGAACTTCCTTCGCGCCATACGTAGCCAACCGTGCTAATCGGAGGTGCAGGGGGAGGACAACAAACTAAACACGCCCAAAAAAGCAGTTAAAAAGAAATGAGTTTTCAATCGAGATTTTAAAATTCGTAGCTCAAGTGGCTGCCTAATATCGTAAAGAAGAGACCCTGACGTCTTACAATCCCACACCGCTCCCTCACAATCCCTGCTGACTCACAATCCCACACCTTTCACAATCCCACTCCCCTGTCTCACAATCTCACACCGCCGCCTCACAATCCCTGCTGACTCACAATCCCACCCCGCTCACAATCCCACCCCGCTCACAATCCCACACCGCTCACAATCCCACACCGCTCACAATCCCTGCTGACTCACAATCCCACACCGCTCACAATCCCTGCTGACTCACAATCCCACACCGCTCCCTCACAATCCCTGCTGACTCACAATCCCACACCGCTCCCTCACAATCCCTGCTGACTCACAATCCCTGCTGACTCACAATCCCACACCGCTCCCTCACAATCCCTCACCGCTCCCTCACAATCCCTGCTGACTCACAATCCCACACCACTCCCTCACAATCCCTGCTGACTCACAATCCCTGCTGACTCACAATCCCACACCGCTCTCTCACAATCCCACACCGCTCTCTCACAATCCCTGCTGACTCACAATCCCACCCCTCTCACAATCCCACACCGCTCCCTCACAATCCCTGCTGACTCACAATCCCACACCGCTCCCTCACAATCCCTGCTGACTCACAATCCCACACCGCTCTCTCACAATCCCACACCGCTCCCTCACAATCCCTGCTGACTCACAATCCCACACCGCTCCCTCACAATCCCTGCTGACTCACAATCCCACACCGCTCTCTCACAATCCCACACCGCTCCCTCACAATCCCTGCTGACTCACAATCCCACACCGCTCTCTCACAATCCCTGCTGACTCACAATCCCTGCTGACTCACAATCCCACCCCTCTCACAATCCCACACCGCTGCCTCACAATCCCTGCTGACTCACAATCCCTGCTGACTCACAATCCCTGCTGACTCACAATCCCTGCTGACTCACAATCCCACACCGCTCTCTCACAATCCCTCACCGCTCACAATCCCTCACCGCTCCCTCACAATCCCTGCTGACTCACAATCCCACCCCTCTCACAATCCCACACCGCTCACAATCCCACTCCCCTGTCTCACAATCCCACACCGCTCCCTCACAATCCCTGCTGACTCACAATCCCACACCGCTCACAATCCCACACCCGGCTGCCTCACCGGGATGGGGCCTCTCCCCTGGCACGGCCAGCAGCTTGGCCTCCGTGATGTCCTTGAAGGAGGCAAGGAAGAGCACCACCTCCCGTTTCTCATTCTTGATGGGGACGATATCGAGCAGACACCAGAACGTCGACCCTGCGGGTGACAGAACGCGGCCAACGCGCAGTGCCGGATGAAGCAAAGTTGCGGGGCCTCTAGCATGTGATGTTATCAAGGGGCCTAAACTATGTAAAAAATAAAACACAATTTTTTTTACTTGCATAGTAAAGTAATTGTAATTTTTCACTTGCTATACAGCCAGATAATACGACAGATCGCTAACCTTAAACACCCGGTCGTTCATTAAAAGTCGAAGGCGGTGTAGTACTATAGTAATAGAGCAAGTGCAGAATCACTGAACCGGAATTGATAGCTTGAAAGCATTTAGCGCGGGGCCTTTGAAAGAGCGGGACCCGTAGCTACTACATATGTAGCTACTACTACATATGTAGTAGTATGTACATATGTACATACTACTACATATGTAGGAGCTACTACATGTGTAGCCACTACATATGTAGCTACTTGTGCTGCTAGAATAATCCGGCACTGCCAACGCGAACATAAAAACAGATAGAGGTGCAGCCCTGCAATTGCTTGTTTACGCCGCTGCTGGTGGGGAGGAGGGGTGGGGGCTCCACTCCAATAACCCCCCCCCCAAAGATCTCCTCCCGGCTGCCATAATTCTCAGCGGAAGTCGGATGTACCCACACTTTATCCCACCTCACTGGACCTGCCGATCCACTGACTGCAGTGTAATCCATTTATTAAATCCTTTATATTAAGTTCGCATGCTTGCTTGCTTGCTTGCGTGCTTGCTTGCTTGCTTACGACCGTGCAAATCTTTCGGTCGTTTTTTAACCCACTTCCCGTGATCCAATCGAGCTGACATTTTCCACACAGACTCGTTGTGCCAGACAATTAATGTTCGTGAAAAAAAATTCCCAAAATTTTACACTTTTTAGGCAAAAAAAAAATATTTTACATATATTCAAATAGAACTCATTCATGGCTTTGGCTGAACGTCACAGTATAAGAGCCCAGAGCGTAACCCCTCCGCAGGCCGTGGCGGAGTAGCGCAGTTGGCAGCGCCCTCGCTTCCCATGCCAAAGGTCGAGGGATCGATCCCCGCGTCCTCCACAGGCGAATATATTTTTAAATCCTTTATAGTAAGTTCGCTGCCACGCATATAAAGGATTTATAGTGAAAAACTTTGTTTTTACGGGTTATACTTATAGCGCTGTTCATCTCCGCACGCATCTGTGTGTGTATCTCTGTGTATGGTATGCATCTCGGTGTGTGTCTGTGTGTGTATCTGTGGCTAAAGCACATCAAGTTGGCACAGTAGGGGGCACAGGTGGTGCATCAGCCACTCATCTCGGTCATCGCAGTCAGTCGACCCGTGGCAACCTACTGGGTCTGCCCCGTGACCTCCTGCCAGCGGGCGATCGACACTTCACGTGGCAGCCTCAAGGTGCACATAGCCTGGCACAAGCGTCGTGGTGACGTCACCGCCACTTAGTGGCGAATGTCGGTTGTTGTTGTTATCTGTGTGTGTGTATCTGCGTGTGAGACTGCTAAGCAGACTCCGGTGGTTTATATTGATAATGAAGATGTTATTGGGTTAGATCGCGTCAATATAAATGCGTCATTAACCCCCCGCCACCACACGACAGAGACATTTAATAAGGGGTTTGTCACGTGAACAAAATGTGCCAATTAGTTACTACATCAGCACACCGGTGTGTTAGAGAGTAAACCCACGATCATTTACAATTTGAGTACGACATTTCGCCGGTGATTGCAGCCAGCTTCATTCGGCGATTTAACAGATATTGTGAAGACGTCTTGGCTATGTTAACTTAACTATTTAAAATCCTTTATATTAAGTTCGCTTGCTTGCTTGCTTGCGTGCTTGCGTGCTTGCTTGCTTACGACCGTGCAAATCTTTCGGTCGTTTTTTAACCCACTTCCCGTGATCCAATCGAGCTGACATTTTGCACACAGACTCGTTGTGCGTGACAATTAATGTTCGTGAATTTTTTCCAAAATTTTACACTGTTTAGGGAAAACAAATGAAATATTTAATTACCAATTGCTTAATACTGGCAGACAATCATCTGACCCATAGGTGGCAGCCATCTCAAGCCAGAGGACGAGAGGACTCTAAGCGCCCGTTTCATGATGACGCAAATGTTGACTAACCACATGGCATGAAATCCCTGCCCCCAAGCTGTACATTGGAGACTATTTATAGAGCAGTTAAATTGAAGCCGCCAGGTTCTTGAAAGTGGTAAAACGCGTCAACGCTAGTGCCCTCGGGAATATACCGGGCATGTCAAGAGGTGATCTTTCATTTTTAAATCCTTTATATTAACTTCACTTGCTTGCTTGCTTGCTTACTCAAGAAAAACAGAAATGAATAATAAAATGAAACCGATGCCACGCATATAAAGGATTTATAGTGAAAAACTTAGTTTTTACGGGTTAATTTTTATTTAAATCCTTTATATTAAGTTCACTTGCTTGCTTGCTTGCGTGCTTACGACCGTGCAAATCTTTCGGTTGTTTTTTAACCCACTTCCCGTGATCCAATCGAGCTGACATTTTGCACACATACTCGTTGTGCCTGACAATTTCTTTTCGTGAAAATTTTTTTCCCAAAATGTTACACTTTTTAGGTACATTTTTTTATATTTAATTACCAATTGCTTAATGGTTGCAGGCAATCATCTGACGCATAGGTGGCAGCCATCTCAAGCCAGAGGACGAGAGGACTCTAGCCGCCCGTTTCAAAGACCAATGTGGGCTGGGTTGTGGCCCATTGAACACGCATATAAAGGATTTATAGTGAAAAACTTTGTTTTTACGGGTTAATTTTTTTAATTTGAGCAGGTAAGGTCCACTAAGCTATATAGCTCATTTTCAGAAGCGACCCGGCCACAAATGATAGCTCAACGAAGTGGAAATTGATTGCAGCTAAATACTTTAAACGCGTGTTTCTAAATATTGGTGGGAAAAACCGGAGGACCTGGAGAAAAATCCACGCGATCACGGGGAGAGAGAGACACACACAAACTCCAAGTAGTATACAGCAGGCATCAGGGTCGGGATCGAACCCACGACGACCTCCCGTATACCAGTGAACATCTCAGCACAATTGCAAGGCTGGTAAAACAAAAACAACGAAAGAAACATTCATCAAGAATTACTCTTTGGTTCTTTCGGTAAAGTCACGTATAAAGAGAAAATAATAAATTAAATAATAGCATACGATGTTTCGATTGCAACACAAGCAATCATCATCAGGTACGAATGCAAGAGGAAACAAACCTAGCAAACTTGGAAATATAATGCGATACAACACAGAGAGTCGGCTAACATAACAGTCAACATCCTACCTGGTTGATTACGTTCTTCCAAAGATTGCTAAATTTGAGAGAGAGGCAAAACACAGACACGGAGACACACAAACAGACACATAAGCAGAGAGAGAGACAACACAGAGACACACAGAGAGAGACACATACATAGACACAGAGAGAGAGATATACAGAGACAAACAGAGAGAGACACACACATAGACACACAGAGAGAGAAAACACAGAGACACACAGAGAGACACACACGGAGACACATAAGCAGAGAGAGACAACACAGAGACAAACAGAGCGAGACGCACATAGACCCACAGACAGACAGACACATAAGCAGAGAGAAAGACAACACAGAGACACACACAGAGAGAGACACACACATAGGCACACAGAGAAATAACGCCTCTGTGTCGAGGCCTTAAATAGAGAGAGAGAGGGGGCCTTCAAGGAGCAGTGGGCGATGGAGGAGGCCGTGTGCTCGTTGGCAGATGACGGGGAGCTCTGCATGTTGATATGAGCTACCCGTCGGAGGCCGTCCGACTGCGAGAAGGGCTGCGTGCAGAACGAGAGAGAGCGAGAGAGTGAGAGAGTGAGCGACAGAGTGACCGAGAGAGAGAGTGAGAGAGTGAGCGAGAGAGTGAGAGAGTGACCGAGAGAGTGAGCGAGAGAGTGAACGAGAGAGTGACCGAGAGAGAGTGAGCGGAGAGTGACTGAGAGAGAGCGAGAGAGTGAACGAGAGAGTGAGCGAGAGAGTGAACGAAAGAGTGAGCGAGAGAGTGACCGAGAGAGTGAGCGAGAGAGTGAACGAAAGAGTGAGCGAGAGAGTGAACGAGAGAGTGAGCGAGAGAGTGAACGAAAGAGTGAGCGAGAGAGTGACCGAGAGAGTGAGCGAGAGAGTGAACGAAAGAGTGAGCGAGAGAGTGACCGAGAGAGTGAGCGAGAGAGTGAACGAGAGAGTGAGCGAGAGAGTGAACGAAAGAATGAGCGAGAGAGTGACCGAGAGAGTGACCGAGAGAGTGAGCGAGAGAGTGAACGAAAGAGTGACCGAGAGAGTGACCGAGAGAGTGACCGAGAGAGTGAGCGAGAGAGTGAGCGAGAGGTGGGGGTTTACATAAGGCAAAATTAAAAAGAAATGTAAATTTAATAAAAAAAAATTACGAAATGATGAACGAAGCAAAGTGCCGAATACACCGAGCATTTTCTTGTTTCCTCTGATCGTAAAAAAAGAGAGAGATGGCGGCGGGGGGTGGGGGGGGGTAGATAAATTATTCATCGAGAAGAAACATTCATTAAAACAAAGCTCACGCTACGGAGGTATTCCACCGCCACACAGCCACACGCCGTCCGCTCACCGTCCTTCTTGTAGAAGAGCATCTCGGCCTTGGTCTCTCGCTGCTCCATCAACCCCTTCTGGATGAGGCCCGCGGCGTATTCCGCCGTCTGTGGGCCGTGCAGGAAGCGGCAAGCGCAGCCTCGCTGCATCACCTCGGTGCGAGAGAAGCCGCTGAGCTCGCAGAATCCGTCCGAGCAGTACACGATGGGGTACTCGCGCGGGACCTGTGCGTTGCCCAGCACGAAGTTGCTGTCTGTAGGGCCAGCGGGGGGGTGGGGGTGGGGGGCAAGGTGGGAAGGGGGTTGGAGCAAACGGAGGCCCAAGAAAGAGAAAGTGACCACATTTTCTTTCTCCAAATTTTGTATAATTGTTTTACCAATTTTTTTTATATTTTCTTGGTTCTTTCGGTAAAGTCACGTAGAAGGGAAATAAAAAAATAAAAAAATAAAACATATGTAATTTGTTGAAGAAATAATTAAAATAAAACATGTTTTATTTTCATTATTTTATTATTTCCATTCTACGTGACTTTACCGAAAGAACCAAGAAGATGAATCCCTGCAGTCACGAAAGCTTTAAATCGAAACGTATATTTGTAAAAAAAAAAAAATCTAAGTTTTACAACTTTACTTCTTTCATTTTCGAAATGCTTGTACATTTGTTTACATTAAAAAGGTACACATTTGAATTTTAAAAAATTCTAATTTTTTGGCAATTTTTCCCATTTGTTGAAAAATGTTGGCAATTTTGTACATGTGTTTACGTTTTTTTGTTTACCAGGTAAGGCTGAAACCTTTAAATTTTACTCCAGTTCAATGCCATGCACACAACACTCATTATATTTCGATTTTAAGCTTTCGTGACTGCAGGGATTCATCTTCTTGGTTTTTTCGGTAAAGTCACGTAGAAGGGAAGTAATAAAATAATTAAAATAATTATTTTATTACGTTTTATTTTTATTATTTTATTACTTCCCTTCTACGTGACTTTACCGAAAAAAACAAGAAGATGAACACTCATTATACAAAGGCAATTGGCCGCAACATCCCAAGGCAGAAGCTTCCTGAGTCTTCATACTCAGTGTGGATTTCCTGTATGAATTCATGAATAATATCCCTCTCTCTCTCTGCCTCTCTCAAGTTCTTTCCTCAATGGCAGGTCCATGGCTTGAGCTCCCCTCTCTCAATCCCATCCAATTTTCACCTCGAGACCCCAGAATACCAGCATGAACGAGTCGGCAAAAAGCCAGAGCTGAGTCTAGTGTGAGCTCTTCCACCATCAGTGACGTGAGCACGACATTGCACAGCTGCGCCTTTATCCTTTTGTACTTACGATATCCGAGCAATAATGCCAGTGAAGTGGTTCACGCTCTGTAATGTGGGTCTATTAAAACCACCATCATTGCCCAAGAAATAATGCCAATGAAGCAGTCCACGCTTTGTACCGTGGGTCTATTAAAGCCACCATCATTGCCAAAGAAATAATGCCAATGAAGCAGTCCACGCTCTGTACCGTGGGTCTATTAAAGCCACCATCATTGCCCAAGAAATAATGCCAATGAAGCGGTCCACGCTCTGTGATGTGGGTCTATTAAAGCCACCATCATTGCCCAAGAAATAATGCCAATGAAGCGGTCCACGCTCTGTGATGTGGGTCTATTAAAGCCACCATCATTGCCCACGCAATAATGTCAGTGAAACGGTCCACGTTCTGTGCTGTGAGTCTATTAAATCCACCATCATTGCCCAAGCAATAATGCCAATGAAGCGGTCCACGTTTTGTGCTGTGAGTCTATTAAATCCACCATCATTGCCCACGCAATAATGTCAATGAAGCGGTCCACGTTCTGTGCTGTGAGTCTATTAAATCCACCATCATTGCCCAAGCAATAATGCCAATGAAGCAGTCCACGCTCTGTGATCTGGGTCTATTAAATCCACCATCATTGCCCAAGCAATAATGTCAGTGAAGCGGTCCACGTTTTGTGATGTGAGTCTATTAAATCCACCATCATTGCCCACGCAATAATGTCAGTGAAGCGGTCCACGTTCTATGCTGCGGGTCTATTAAATCCACCATCATTGCTTCCCCGCTGAGCTCCCTTGGGCTCTCTGGCTCCAATGAAGCCAATCACATCCACATCAACTGTACGCAGCACGGCGAAGAGACGTGGAGACGCGTGGAGACTGGGCAGGGTTGGACTGCACCCGCCGTGTTCGCCCGGGGAGTGTCGGAACGGCGCCGCTGACAACGGCCAGTGGACCTCACTGAGATTGCGATCTCGGTGTGTGCACGTGGTGCCCGTGTTGCAAGTGGTGCTCATTGAGAGGGCTTCAGCAGAGAGAGAGAGAGAGAAAGAGAGCGTCCGTGTCGTGTCGTGTCGCTGTTGCTTCTCCTCCGTTGTAGGAGCGCAGGCCACAGTGGGTTTATTCATAATCAACGTTTTTGGGGTTAGATCGCGTTATTTATAAATGTGTCGTAACCCTCCACCAACCGACACGGTCAATCAGCAAAAAAGGTTTCACGTTGACAAAAGACAAATAGTTCACTGCTTTAGCCCACCGGTGTGTTGAAGCGTGAAACCACAACATTTACAATTTTTGAGTAGTACGACGTTTCGCTGGTAATTGCATCCAGCATCATCGGGCAAATTCGCCAGAATGGTGAGGCTCTGCTCTGGCTCCCGGTCTTAAATAGAGCAACGGCAGGGTGACGTCATCATTTATAAATAACGCGATCTAACCCAAAAACGTTGATTATTAATAATATTGGTCGCGAAAGCCTGCGTGTTAAACTCTCTGGGTTTACTCGTTTGTGAGTCTTCAATGTATCTCTATGCGTTTACTGTGTGGTTTAATAGTTTGGATTGCGTGGTCACAATCACACTGCTGTGGCCTATCCTTAATTTACAATTATCTATATAGGTCTATCTGGGTCTCTATGTGTTTATTTATCTCTATGGGTCTATATATATATCTCTATGTGGTGTCTATGTATCTATACGTTTACTCTTGGGTCCATAGTTTGGGTTCTGTGGCTGCAATCGCACTGCTGTGACTTGTCTTTAATGCATCTCCATGTGTCTCAATGCACATCTATGAGTCTCTAAGTATCTCAATCTGTCTGTATGGGTCGCTAAGTATATCTGTGTATAGCTCTGGATTTCGTATGGCCTCATGTTCAGCAGATGCATGCCAATAGAGAGCTCTGCTGCTGCTGTTGCTGCTGGTCACGACGAAAGGGCTTCATCAGAGAGAGAGAGAGAGAGTTTGTGTCGTGTCGTGTCGCTGTTCCTCCTCCACCTCTGTTGAAGCAGCGCAAACCACAGTGGGGTTCCTCTGTGGTCCATAGTTTGGGTTACATGGCCACAAACACACCACCTTGTCTTGCATTGTATGTATCTCGATGGGTCTGTATGAGTCTCCATGAGTCTCCGTATATCTCAGTCCGTCTCTGTGTAGATCTATGTACAGCTCTGGCTTGCGTTTGGCCTCATGTTCAACAGGTGAATGCCATTGTGGAGGTCTGCTGCTGCTGCTGCTGTGGCCACGACGAAAGGGCTTTCGCAGAGAGAGAGAGAGTTCGTGTCGTGTCGTGTCGCTGTTCCTCCTCCTACTCCGCTGATAGAGCGCAGAGAACAGTCGACTTACATATTCTTGGGTTTTTTCGGTAAAGTCACGTAGGTAAAAAAATGTAAATTAATAAAAGTAAAATAAAACAAAGTAAAAAATTCACGACGTTTCGGAAGCAACACAAGCCTCCGAAACGTCGTGAATTTTTAATTTTGTTTTATTTTACTTTTATTAATTATTTTTTTTTACCTACGTGACTTTACCGCAAGAAACCTAAGAATATGAATCCTTGCAGTCACGAAAGCTTCAAATCTAGAATTAGTCGACTTACAGTGTGGTCCAGATGTCTTGTGACACTCATTAAATTCGCTAAAACGTAATATATTTATTTTTTAAAAGTAAGGTTAATTTAAAATATAAATGAATATGCAAAGTGGGGGGGGGGGAATGTTAGGGTTCAAATAATTGGGGGTCACAAGACACCTGGACCGCCCTGTACAATATGGGTCCATAGTTTGGGTTGCATGGCCACGATAATTATTGTGCTGCGGTGTCTGGGCCGACGTGAAAGAGTGGGGGGGCCAAAATACCCTTTTCGGGGGGCTCACTCAAACTCCCTCTGAGGGGCCGTCCATAAATGACGTCACGCGATTTTGGACGATTTTTGACCACCCCCCTCGTCACACGGCGTCACAAAAGTCAGACCGCCCCTCAAATATGACATCACAAAGCTCTGCCCCCCCCCCCCAAAACCGTATTTCCATTTTGAAAATAAAACATGCTTCAAATCGCTTTAAACTATTGTCATTGTAGCGCGTATTTCATGTGTTGTTGTAGGAGAGTTGTTATAACAATTTTATATTCATTTAAAATTGCGCATTTTGATGTGACGTCACATTTCTCAAACCCGCCCGCCCTCGTCACACAATGTCACAAATGTCTGACCCCCCCCTTAGGTTCGTGACGTCATTTATGGACGGCCCTTGAGTGGCCGGTGCCACTTATTCCTTCCAGCGCGACATGTACGCACTAACATGCCACCACCACCACGATTTTGTTTGTTGCAGTACAGAGTTAGCCTGATAACTTTAATCTACATTGTGTTATGCTTCTTCTTGGTTCTTTCGGTAAAGTCACGTAGAATGTAAATAATAAAATAATAAAAATAAACATAATAAAATACTGAGAATTATTTTATTATGTTTATTTTATTTTATTATTTCCATTCTACGTGACTTTACCGAAAGAACCAAGAAGACGAATCCCTGCAGTCACGAAAGCTTTAAATCGAAATTTGTCTTATGCTTGTTATTGTTTGACTTGCATCCCACTGCGATTTTTGCACACGGCGTTGAAATGCGGTGTTTTTTTCTGGGAAGATTTGGCAGTTTTTTCCAGGATTTTTCTGTTTGCGCGTAAGTCACTTTAAGATGTTTCTTGTTCATGTTTTGTTGCGGTTGTACCCGAGTTCAAGAGCCGCATGGCTCATAGGGTTATATACCTAATAAAACACATTCCTGCGGAGGGAGCTGGTAAGAACGTTGGGTTGCTCGGTCAATGGCCAGGGTCAACGGCGGCGTGGTGTATTCCGCAAATATGGCCGACTGTGAGGGCGGGCACAAGCCGGCGTGAGTAGGTTAAACGTTGAGTTTAATAAGGGCACCACGGGGTGACCAGCCCC